AGTATCATAGATGTGATCTCATATTTGGCCAATACTTGCTATGCATAGTCTTTTTTTCGTTAGTCGTGGGGCTTGAACTCTGGGCCTGGGCGCTGTCCCTGAGCTCTTCAGCTCAAGGTGAGCGCTCTACCACTTGAGCCACAGTGCCACTTCTGGTTTTCTGGTGGTTCATTGGAGATAAGAGTCTCAGGGACTTTCCTGCCTGGGCTGGCTTTGAACTGCGATCCTCAGATCTCAGCCTCCTGAGTAGCTAGGATGACAGGCTTGAGTCACCAGCTTATGGTTTGTCTTAGTGTTTTAACTTACGCAGAAAAATAGAAAAATTGTCCATACTTTGGCGGTACGGTGTGATGCTGTGACATAGGTACACAATGTTTAAATCAAACACCAGCTCCCTCTAACAATGGTCGTTTCTGGATGGGAAAACATTCACTACCCTTTCACCTGGCTCTTCTAAAGAGACAGTCTGTGGGGCGGGGAAGGTGGCTCAGTGGTAGAGCGCTCGCCTACCATGCATGAAGCCCTGGGTTCCATTCCTCAGGACCACATACACAGATAAAACCAGAAGTGGTGCTGTAGCTCAAGTAGTAGAGTGCTAGCCTTGAGCACAAAGAGGCTCAGGGACAGACCCAGGCCCTGAGTTCAAGCCCCAGGACTGGTTAAAAAACAAAACAAAACAGTACGTTAGTGTTATCTGTAATCAGCCGCACACACAGCACAGCAGCCTCTGGACCCCTATTTGATTAGAACTTGTGCTGCTTGATTAGAACTGCGCTGCGGCTCCTCCCCTCCCCAGCCCAGCTCCCCTATTCCCTCCCTGGGTGACTTCTTGAGCTTTTTTTTGCTCTACCACTTGAGCCACGGCTTCGCTTCTGGCTTTTTGGTAATTGGAGATAAGAGTCTCAGAGACTCCTGCCTGGGCTGGCTGGTTTCGAACTCAGATCTCAGCCTCCCCAAGTAGCTAGGATTACAGGCGTGAGCCACCAGCACCAGCCTTCCACTATCTTCACCAGTAAATGGCCTGCTGGAGCTGGATGGAGACGCTTTGGCCCCGGCTCATGGCCTCCGCTGTGTACAGGTGGGGGCCACGGCGCTGTGGGGGAGGCCGTCCAACCCCACGCTGCCTCCTGCGCCCACAGGGGTGGGGCCGGGGAAGTGTGCGTGGGGAAGCGCTGGGGGAAAGGTGAGCACCAGTCCTGCCATTTGTGGAGCTGGTACCACTTGGTGGGAATGTCTTGGGGTCCTTTGGGGCACTTATGGCTGTTTTCAGAGGGGACAGCAGAGCCAGCAGTGCGTGCTTTGGAAGGACCCAGGCCGCAGGGGAGGCCGCGGGAGGCAGCCCAGGACTCACCTGTCCGCGGAGGTGTGGTGGGCGTGGGAGGGGGGATGGGGGTGGGGGGGTGAGGAGGAGGGCCCGAGGGGTGCCGAGGCTCAGGCTGCGCTGCGGGCCATCGGCACGGCACTGAGATGCTCCCCACAGAAGTCCAGCAGGCTCATCGCTCCACACCAGGGCAAATCCGTGTTCCCTGTAATGAAATGAAAGCAACAGGAAAGCCAACAGCCCCGGGGGTGGATTTCCAGCTCCTTCTGGGGAGGCTGGCTGCCTGAGCTCCGCAGCGCAGCGGGATTCAGCGTCGTGCTCTTCCTGCTCCGCCCGCGTGCCCACGCAGGGACACAGGTGGTCAGGGTCGTGGAAGGTCTGTCCTAAAGTGGACTGCAGGGGCTGGGGAGGGAGGAGGTGCTCCCCATTGGGTCCTGGAGCCCCATTTCCAGGCCTGGGGTCAGGTGACGGAGCAGTGGGTGTGTGGCTGGAGCAGGGCATGGGCTGTGGGCCCGGTCTGTGCGTGGGGTGTTGGTGCTGCTGAGCCCAGGCCCCGGGCGGCCGCACCTTCTTACTAGAGGAGCGTGGAGCAGATGTGGGGGGCAGGTGTGTGGGGCAGGCATGTGGGGTGTCCTGGGCAGGGGTGCGGCAGTCACTCCTCACACGCCCTGACTCTTGCTGTCTAGGCTGTGGTCGGGGGCTGAGGACAGAGCAGGATGGTCACTCCAGGTAGCTCGAAGACACAGTACGTGGATAAAACTAGTAACTAAGAGCAAAAGAGTAATTGTGCTAACCAGGTGCTGGTGGCTCACACCTGTCATCCTAGCTACTCAGGAGGCTGAGATCTGAGGATCAAGGTTCAAAGGCAGCCTGGGCAGGAAAGTCCTTGAGACCCAGAAAACTGGAAGTGGCGCTGTGGCTCAAGTGGTAGAGCACTTGCCTTGAGCTCAAGAGCTGAGGAACAGTACCCAGGCCCAGAGTTCAAGCCCCACGACCAATCAGAAAAAGAGTAATTGTGCTGTGTGCTTCCCAGTAGTTGGGCTGCAGCACAGGGCAAGGTGGGGGGCCTAGACCTGCACCCCTGGGAAGACACCGGAGCTTCTGAGGAGCAGAAGGGGGGGATGGCGGGGGGGGGGGGGAGGGAGGGGCAGGGCCACAGTATCTAAAGTACTTGGGACACAAGCTGGGTCTGCGTCCTTGGAGGCGCCAGGCAGGAGCAGGAGCGGGGCTGGGGGAGGGGCTGCAGGGGCTCCTTCCGGTCGTCCACCCCATGGGCCTTGCTGTGCAGCTGGCAGTCCAGCCCCCAAAGCAATGCAGAGAATCTCCGGCCAGGATTGCGGTATTGACGGCTTCTATTTAGAAGGCAGGAGGGGCTGGAGCAACTGTGGCCCCTGTGGGTCACTGCAGACTCTGGGGGGGCTCCGGAAAGCCCTGCAGGAGAGGGCAGAGGAAGGGCAGGCCAGACAGCTGAAGGTGTGGGGGCCGGCTCCTCTCCCCAGGGCCCCATCACCCCTGGGAAAGCGCTGAGCCAGCCACCTGTGTGGGCTGCTGCGAGGCGTGGCCTCGGCCCTCAACCTCCCTCCAGGGCAGCAGTTTTTGGGGAACCACACATGGGGGGAAGTGGGAGGAGGTGAGGCGCTGCTGTGATGTGGCTGCGGGTGGGTGGGGGGAGGTCGGTGGGAGGTGGCAGGGGCTGCTTCTAAGGCAGTGGGGCTCCTGGGGGAACACAGGCCCGATCCTAAGGCAGCCAGCCCGGGCTGAAGGGGGAGCCCTGTTCCGGGGAGCCAGTCCCTGACGAGTCAGTGTCACCAGTGCTCAGGAGTGGTGCCTTCTATTCTAGGCGGAGGAGGAGGAAGCTGGGTTGGAAGCGCTGGGTGCAGGCATTGTGCATCGCGCGCGCCTCCTCACGAGTTCGGAGGGAGACCTGGGGATGGTGCACCCAGTTCCCCGCGTCCATGCTCTCCTCCAGCTTCTGAGCAGGGCAGGCACCCTCCGGGAAGCCCTCTGCCCAGGGGGTGAGCTGGCCCAGTGAGGCCCTGCCACCCACCCACCCGAGGAACCAGGAGAGGCTCAGATGCCAGCAGCGCATTCCGGAGGCCCTGGTGTGTCTCAGTGGGGCGGCTCCGCAGGGCATGGCTGATAGGGTGCTGTGCAAAAATGTCACATGCCACTCAGTGGAGGATTAGCAGGATCTGAGGTCAAGGGTTTGACGGAAGCAGTTTCTATTTGTGAAAGCAGCAGAGGGTGAGGGAGGGTAGAAGGCTGCTCAGGAGGGTGCCGGGGGAGGACATGGGAAGGGCCATCCAGGTCCATGGCTTCCTGATCTGCGACTTTCCCCATCAAAACAGAGTCGCAAGCCAGGCGTGGTAGTGCGCTCTTCCTCTGGCACTCGGGAGGCTGCTGAGGTCAAGGAAAGCCTAGCTGTATATCAAGACCCTGATTCAAAACCATAGCGCCATGCCGGGCGCCAGTGCCTCATGCCTGGAATCCCAGCTACTCAGGAGGCTGAGATCTAAGGATAACAGTTCAAAGCCAGCCTGGGCAAGGAAAGTCCGTGAGACTTACCTCCAATGAACTACCAGAAAATTGGGAGTGGTGCTGTGGCTCAAGTGGTAGAGCACTTGCCTTGAGCTGAAGAGCTGAGGGACAGTGCCCAGGCCCAGAGTTCAAGCCCCATGACCGACAAGAAAAAAAAAGCTCAAACCAAGACCCCCATATATAAACCAACAGACATGCGTGTGGGAGGAGGGGACCACAGAGGCCCACAGGCCTCTGGCGAGCAAGCGAACGTGCTACCAGAGGATGTGAGGATGAGCAGCAGGCGACAGTCCCCACGGACACTGTGGCTCAAGTCCAGGTGCCGGCTCTGCTGGCGGCTGCCCAGACGGGCGCGCGGATGAGAGATGAGGCTTTGAGCGTGAGAAAGTCCCGCCCACCGACGCAGATGAGGCTGTGAGCACACTGAGTGGCCCCGGCCGGAGTCCCGCCCACCGGAGGACTGCGATCCGCTCTTCACAACACCCCAGGCGAGCCAGGCACCCTCAGGGCAGACCGTGGCGTCCTGGGACGTCACCATGGTCCCCGGACCCCAAATAAGCCACAGAGCCAGGAAGTCACACTGCCCACACCATAGACCGTGTATCAAATGTTTATTAAAACCTTAAAGATACAACTTCCCAGGGTGTAAGATTCTAAGCCAAGGCCCGGCCCAGGCCCCTGCTGCTGGCTCCAGCAGGAAGCGCTGCATTCTTCTGTGTGTGTGTGTGGGGACCGGCGACCACCGACGGCCGGGCCATCCCGTCACAGCCAGGTCTCCCCGGTCCTGCTCGCTGTCACAGACGGGATATGGAGGAGACCCCTCAAAACACGGAAGAGACGAGCTGTGGGCACGGCGCCAGGGCCACAGAGACAGGCAGCGGCGCCATGGGAGGCAGGGCGCAGCCGCGGCCAGCGCCCAGCCAGCCACGTGGCCAGCTGCCATGCCTGCCCCATGGCGGGCCGTGCCGCTGTTACTTCCGGCACAGAACTGAGGCTGTGGGAGGGAGACCCTGAGCCTCTGACCCACCCACCTCCTCTCGGGTGGGGGTGTCTGGTTCAGGGGCCTGGGGAAGATACCACAGGGATGGAGAAAGTTCTGTGGGGCTGTGACCTGAATAAACTCACATCCATTCTGAACAGCAACAGCCCGCATGGTTTAATAGCAGGGAAAAACCCAACAGGCATAGGACAGCCAGGCATCTCCCAGCTTTGGTCTCTTGTTTCGGGGTGTGTCTGGTTCAGACTGTTCCGTGGTGCCCGCAGCCGGTCGCAGAACTGGAGGCGATGCCCGCGGCGCTCAGCTTCTCCAGCCGCCGAAGCCCTGGGCAGAACTGCAGGAAGCGCGGCGTCAGCGCCCACCCCCGGCCAGGCTTCCAGACCCCCAGAACCGCACACTTCAAGAAGCACAGCACAGGACGGGAAAGCTTCAGACACTACAGGGGAGGACTGGGGGAGTAGGAGGGACCCCCTCCCCAAGCTGCGGCAGAATGACTGGCGTGCTCAGTCTCTGCACGCCCCAGCCCTTCCCCCCCCCCCCCAACTTATTTAGTAAGTATGGGAGATGCCACTTACGAGTTGGATGATCCGAAGGTGAAGCCTGAAAAGAGGGAGGGGAAGGTCAGGGGAAGCTCAGCCCCCGTGCGCACCCCCCCCCACGAGGACACAGGGACCCATGTGTCATGAGTGAAGATGCAGATGCGATCCGCCACATTCCCAGGCCCTGCGCTGGAGGCAGCGCACCCGGCTGTGGAAACCCAGCCTGCTAAGGCTCTGGCTTCAAGTGCTGAAACCCTGAGCGGAAATGACATCAGCATTTCTATTATTTGCTCAGAAATGGCCCAGCACTGCAAGTATAGACAGGATGCTTCCTTTATCACTGACTGCATCCATACCACTACACCAGCAGCCAGGCAGAAGTCCGGTACCTGGGCCCAGGGACGGGCAGGGGGAAGGGCGGCCTACCTCCAGAGCCCGATCCAAACCCGGAGAAGCTGCCGCTCTGGGCCCCAAACCCTGATGTCTGCTGGGACAGCGATCCGAAGGAGGGCGTGTTCTGGCTGGCCAGCGTGCCGAACGACGTGGTGTTGCTGCTGCTCCCGAACCTGTGCACCGGCCACAAAGGGGCTGTGGTCAGTGTGGCCCTGGCCCCCGCCCGCCCGGGATGTGCCCGATGTGGGCTGGCACAGATTCCAGGGAGAGGCAGCGGTGTGGGGCTTTTCCTCCGGTGCCCAAAATGACTTCTTGCTGGCTGGCGCTCCGCAGTCCTCACTCCATTACCTACGATTTCTCATTATCAGCTCGGGCATCATTTGGCTCTTGCTGCACATTGGTGCTGCTGACTTTTTGTTGAGAGACAGTCTCACTGCCATCCAGGCTGTCCTCGGCCTCGAGGGCTGGGGCTGCCATGCCTGGACATTCTCTTTGCTTTCCTTTTATTGTACCAATCCTGGGGCTTGAACTCAGGGCCTGTGCACTGTCCCTGAGTTTTTTTTTTTTGCTCACATCTGGTGCTCCACAGCTCCACTTCCTGCTTTTTGATGCTGAATTGGAGTTAAGAGTTTCTAACTTTCCTGCCAGGGCTGGCTTTGAACCACAATCCTCAGGGCTTAGCCCCTGGAGTAGCTATGATGACAGCCGGGCACTGGCGCAGGCTTCTATTTGCCTGCAATGAGGCACAGGTTTTCTCACACAAAGATCACTACTTTAGGTATCTTTGTTTTGGTGGGCGGAGGGGATAGGGAAGCAGTTCTCAAGTCATTTCTTTTGGAATTTTGAAGCATTAAGTGTTCTCCTCGGTCCTTACCTGGGGATGACCCCTGGGCGTGCAGGGTGTGTGTGTGTGTGTGCGCGCGTGCCGGCCTGTGTCAGAGGGATCTGGCTGGGACGGGGAAGGCTCTGGGGAGACCAGACTGGAGAGGAGTTCATGACTGGGGACAGACAGGCAAGTGGGAGAACAGCTACAGAAAAAAGCCAGAGCACAGCAGGACCCAGGCGGGGCCTCCACGCGTGCACCAGCCAGGCCAGTGTGCAACTCCGGCCTCAGACCCCACCAGAGCCCACCAGACACTGCCAGGGGCCTCCACAGCGGCAGCGGATTCTAGATACTCAGTGCCTGGCTGGTACTTGGGCCTGTTCTGCAAGATGGAACTGGCCAGTCAGGACTGATGTGGGATCAGGATTCTTTTTTTGTTGTTGTTGGTCATGGGGCCTGAACCCTGGACCTGGGCGCTGTCCCTCAGCTCTTCAGCTCAAGGCTAGCGCTCTACCACTTGAGCCACAGCACCACTTCTGGCTTTTTCTGCTTATGTGGAATGGAACTCAGGGTCTCATGCATGCAAGGCAAGCACTCTACCACTGAGCTTCCTTCCCAGCCCTGGGATCAGGATTCTCTTCTACCAAGTAAGCAAAGCCCCAGGACTTGCAGCCATGCAGACGGGAGTCCACCCGCCCGCCCCAGGTCTCGTTACGCCGACCCAATTACTCCCTAATTCTGATTCTTGGGGTTTCCTGAGAGAACAGTCAAAGATGGAAGGAAGGACTGCTGGCTCCTCAGCAGCCAGCACCTTTGTGGCCGGCAGGGTGAGAACACACCTGAACCCAGACGCGGCAGTAGTACACGCCTGCCATCCAGCCACTCGGAGTACAAATGGGAAGGAATGTGGGTTGAGGCCAGCTGAGGCCAAGAGTTAGCAAGACTCCACCTCAATAAATAAGCCAAGTGTGGTGGTGTGCACCTGTAATCCCAGCTACATCTCAGATGTCAGAGGAGTCCCTGGCAAAAACTCGTAACTCTTAAAAAGCAAAAAGGGGGTGCAGGTACAGCCCAGTGGAAGAGTGTCTGCCTGGCAAGCAGCAAGGCCCCGAGTTCAAACCCGGGTTCTGCCATGGTCCCTCTACAATCGCCCCAAATCTTCAGTTCTCGGCCTAAGCCAGCCGAGGGCGTGGCTTCTCAAACAACTGCACACATCTGGCTGTGGCAAAGGCTGTGGTTTTCCTTCGGATTCCAGCAACCGGACTGGAATTCTGGGGTCCCCAGAGTTCCCCCGCATTTCCCAGTGGGGATGTGTGGGGCAAGGCCCACGCAGAGAGCACCCGGACGACCCAGCTGGCCCTGGGGGACTGGAAACCCTCGCTGAGGATGGGGGGGGGGGGGGGGGACAGGACACAGGAGTCGTGTGCAACAACACTGGGCCTCGGGAGGCAAACAGGAACCGACCCCTGCGCTACCCCCTAACACAGGCACTCTGGAGAGCAGGGCTCTGAGGGCAGCGGTCAGCCATGAGCTGATGGCCACCGTGTGTTCCACACAGCCTGGCTCCTCTGTTCCAAGACAGGGCCTTGCGCTCTCGGGCCGGAGTTTGACAGTGTGAGAAGCTACTTCGCAGAGCAAGGTGGCTGTCGGGCTGCGAGGCTGTGGCGGCCATGTCCCCGCCCCACCCCGCCCCCGTCCCGGGTGGGCGCTTACCCGAATCCTCCCGCGCTGGCGGCCGCAGTGCCCTCTCCGAACACTTTGCCTCCCGTCGAGCCCAGAGGGCTTGTAAAGGCTGGGGCTGAACCGAATGCTGGCACCCCTCCAAACCCAGGGGATCCCCCGAAAGTAGGAGGGCTGCCAAACACTGGAGCAGCACCGAAGCCACCTGAGCAAAACAGAGGCAAACAAACAGAAACGGGGAGAAGGAAAGGAGCAGGAGGAGAGGACGTGAGCGGTCAGAAAGCAAAGCAAAAAGGAAGGGAAAGAGGAAAACAGCACGTTACAGATGAACACAATGCAAACAGGGCCATGCTGCCCGCCCCCCACTTAAACCAGAATGTGGCAGCCCCTCCCAGCCCTACTCCTGCTTTCTGGGGGCTCATGAGAGTGGACCCCACTACAGCATGGCCCTCCAATGCTGGGGTCCCAACCTGGTGGCGAAAATGCCAAGTGTACCACCATGGCCGGCTGTAGACTGGACAGAAGCCCAAACTGTGAGACTGGAGGCTGGCATCCCCGCCCCGCCAGAACCCACGAACTGGGTCAGGGCGGCCGTGAGCCCTGCCTGGCGCCCGGCCAGGGGCTTCTGATGTGTTTACAGCCTGGTGGCTGCCCCGCGCACGCGTGCGCCGGCGGCCCTCTTTCTTGGCACTGAAGCCTTCCTAAAAACGCTCGCTCCCTCCAGTCAGAGGCATCCGCGGAAAGCGATGTTCCTCTTCTGCGGCGGGTGCCGCCCCCACTGACCCTCAACTGTGGGACAACTCGCATGAGCGCCAGGCGCCCTTGGGCAGGGGCTGCAGCGGGTGGCCACAGAAGGGGGCGGGGCCAGGTTCTGGGGAGGGGGTGGAGGCGTGCTGAGCTTCCCCTGATCCCCAGGCCCCTCACCCCCAAACCTACATACAGCCCGCCGCAGAGCCAGTGGAGGACCATGGCGCCAGGATCCTGCTCTCTGGGGACCTCTCTCAGCCTCTGGGGTGTCACCGCACCACCACCTGACCCAGAAGGACCACACACCGGGTGTGCACAGCTGCCCGCTGAACTCAAGTGAGCTGCTATCTTGCACGGAGGTGCCTGCGTAAGCCCTCACGTGAATTCCAAGCCCCGAGAGGAAAAACGGGCGCATTACAAATACAACAGGCTGGAAAGAACAAAAAGCGCCAAACCCCTCGCGGCTGAATTATTGAGGACTGACACCGATCTGGTTACGCGTTCTTCCAGACACCCAGGCCCGCCTCGGTGGCCTCCTCTAGGTGGAAGGGGGTGAAAAGTGAGAAGTCACAACAACACAGAGAGCGCCTGGGCAGGAGGACGGACGGACGCACGCACGCACGCACGCACGCGCCGTGTGGCAGCGTGGCAGTCACTACGGGCTTAGCTCTGGAGTCAGGTGACCTATGCCTCACGGTGTGCCTGGGGTTCAGGTTTACTGGGAGCTTCGCAACCTCCTCCCGGAGGACTGGAGGCTCGGGATCCGCCTCTCTGCTCTGAGCGAGCGGCGGCGGAGCTGGGACTGGAAGGTCTGCGAGACCCCAAATCCAGCTCTCACCTGGCACGCGCCAGTCTCTCGCGGTCACTGTGCCCAACACCTCTGGTGATCACGAAGCAGGGATGCAGACCCCCGAGCCCAGGGGCAGGCTATCCTGGTCTGTGTCCCCTCCTGGCCAGCAGCAGTGTCACTTCAGAGGCGCGTATGCTAGAGGGAGGCTGGACACCTGGTGTAAAGCTCCAAGGTGAACTTGCGGCCCTGCTGCTATGGCGCTCCGTTGCACCCCTCACTTCTCACCTCTGTGTCTTTTTGCCAGTCCTGGGGCTTGAACTCAGGGCCTGGGCACTGTCCCTGAACTCTTTTGCTCAAGGCTAGCCTCTATCACTTCGAGCCGCAACTCAAGCTTTCGGTTTTCTGGCAGTTCAATGGAGATAAAGAGAGTCATGGGCTTTTCTGCCCGGACTGGCTTTGGACCACAATGCTCAGATCTCAGCCTCCTGAGTGGCTAGGATTGTAGGCGTGAGTCACCAGTGTTCGGCTTGGGATCTCATTTCTAGTCCCTTTTAAATTCTAGGAAAAGAATTAAGAACTTCCAATCTAAGACCAGGCACCAAGCCAAAGCTACGAGAACAAGCACACTCTCCTGTGGAAATTAGATTCTAAAAGCAAGAGTCTGCTTTCTGGTTTAGGGAGGCCTAGGCCTTAGCCACAGCCACTTAAGACACCTGGCCCTCAGGAAGGGTCTTGCTCAAAATATCCCATCCCTCTGAGCATGAATGCCACCACAGAGAGCCTGCTTTGAAGAGGGGCTTTCTCACTGGGCACTGGTGACTCACACTTAGCTACTCAGAAGGCTGAAATCTGAGGATCACAGCTCAAAGCTAACCCAGACAGAAGTCTGTGAGACTCCATCTCCAAATAAGCAAAGCTGGAGTTGTAGCTCAGGTTGGCAGAATGCCAGCTGAGCAAGTCATGTTCTTGTATCTAAACATCTACTGCCCTTGGAGTTTTTTTTGGCCAATCCTGGGGCTTGAACTCAGGGCCTGGGCACTGACCCTGAGCTTCTTTTGCTCAGGCTACCACTTGAGCCACAGCACCATTTCTGGTTTCTTCTGTTTATGTGGTATCGAGGAATCGAACCCAGGGTTTCATGCATGCTAGGAAAGCACACCACCACTAAGCCACATTCCTAGCCTGCCCTCGGAGATTTTAATTGCAGATGTGTAGAACAAACACTTCAAGTTATGTGGGGCTAAAACACTGTGCTATTAACGTGCTTTTCACCTGTGCCAAAGAACAGAGCTGCATGCTGTGTAGGCAATGCCTGGTAGAGGGCAAAATACCACAGATGTAAGAAGCCAGACAGCTGGTCCTGGTGGCTTACACCTGTCATCCTAGCCACTCGGAGGCTGGCATCTAAGGATCACTATCTGTGGGGCTGGGAAGGTGGCTCAGTGGTAGAGCGCTTGCCTTGCATGGATGAGGCCCTGGGTTCGATTCCTCAGCACCTAAGCAAAAAGAAAAAAAGCGGGAAGTGGCGCTGTGGCTCAAGTGGTAGAGCGCTAGCCTTGAGCTGAAGAGCTGAGGGACAGCGCCCAGGCCCAGAGTTCAGGCCCCACGACCGGATCCAGAAAAAAAAAAAGGATCACTACTTGAGGATAGGTGGGACAGTAAAGTCTGGGAGACTTTTACTTCCATTCACCAGCCAAAAGTTAGGGTATGGCTCAAGTGGGAGAGTGCCTGCCTTGAGTAGAAAAGCTAAGAGACAGTGCTAGGCTCTGAGTTCGAGTCCCTAGTGCGCACACACACACACACACACACACACGCAAAACTATGTATGTGAACACCAGGAGCAATCAGGTGTGTTCTTGTGTGTGCTGTAGTTGTCAGCTCTGACGTACTCCTCTCTGGGTGCTTCTGTGACAGTGGACACTGCTAAGGAAGTCTCCTAAGAAGACTGCGTGCTCCTCGGGCTGCAGTCCCTGCAGTCCCATTTTTAACCACTTCACACGCATTGGGAAGGAAGCAGAAGCTCAATGAAATGAGCAGAGACGTCCTCCCCTCTGCGGTCCCCTTCTCCCTCCTGATATCCAGGCATACGCAGCACATGCGCGCACATCATGCCGGCACCTGTTTTACTGGGCGTGGAGAAGCCGAAGCCTTGGGACGCCACACTTCCGCCTCCAGAGCTGAACGTGCCGGCCGGCTTCTGCTCTCCAAACGACGAGCTGCCGAACCCGCCGAAGGTCTTCGCCCCGCTGTTTCCAAACAGGTTGGAGGTGTCTGGGGAGAGAGGGACCAGAGGGCCTGGGCGGCACAGCCAAGATGGCGGCTTGCTGGCCTCACTCCACCAGCGCCACAGAAAGGGGAGAGGAGGCCCTGCTGGAGAGGGTCTGCGGGAGGCCCCGCGCCCCCAGGGGCACTCAGAGCCCCAGGTCTACCTCAGGTCTAGGGCCTGGAAGACCATCTGCCTTCCTCCCTGTGTTAGTGACATGAACGCTTGAGTGGCTGCGGAGGGCGCGGGTGGAGGGAAGCCCTGCGCTCCGGCTCTGGTCCGCAGGAGTGAGCGGCGCTGGGGCCCAGCCCAGCGAGGCCTTGCAGCTCATCTTTTTTTTTTTTGGTTGGTCATGGGGCTTGAACTCTGGGCCTGGGTGCTGACCCGGAGATTTTTTGACCTCAAGGCTGGCGCTCTACCACTTGAGCCACAGGGGCACTTTGGTTTTGCTCTCAGTTTTGTTTTTGTTGGTCACAGGGCTTGAACTCTGAGTCTGGGTGCTATCCCTCAGCTCTTCAGCGAGTGTTCTACCACGTGAAGAACCGCAGTGCCACTTCCAGTGTTTTATTGGTTTATTGAAGAATCTCATGGACTTTCCTGTCCAGGCTGGCTTTGAACCATGATCCTCTGATCTCAGCCTCCTGAGTAGCTAGGATGACAGGTGTGAGCCACTGACGTCTGGCTTCATCTCCTCTTTCTAAGAGGTTCACTAAGGCCCTGGACCTTTCTGATGCTGGGTTAGCGGATCCCTCCTGCCCGGGGAGAGGTGCTGAACGTGCTCTAAGGAGGGAAGGGCAGAAGGAAGGGATTCTCTTCGGATGAGGGCGGGGACTCTTGTTTGCTGCAGAAATGAGGACTGTCTCACACTTGAAATACCGGGACTTAACTTCAGACCTCACTCTATCTTCTCGAGAGTTTTGTTAAAATTCATTCCCACCTGTGACAGGACAGGGAGAGGCTATCCGGAGAGTGGGTGGATGCCCAAGCCACTGGTGTGCACGTCAAGGTGCCCAGCCCCGGTCCCCAAGTGAGCAGAGCCCTCGCGCACTGCGGGCTGACGGAGGGGAGGCAGGAGCGCATGCCCTCCCTTGCGAAAGAGAGCTGCCAGAGCTTCAGCTCAGGGCTCAGGGCCCCATGCTCTCATTTGCTGTTTCTGCTCAAAGCTGGTGCTCTATCACTTATTGGAGCCACAGCTCCACTTAATGACTTTTTGGTGGTTAGCTAGAGATAGGAGTCTTACAGATTTTCTTGCCTGGGCAGGCTTTGGACCAGGATCCTCAGATCTCAGCATTTGAGTAGCTAGGATGACAGCCATGAGCCACTGGCACTCAGCTATAAAAACATTTTTTTTTGCCTGTCTTGGGTGGACTTGAGCTTGGGCCCACGTGCTGTCCCGAGGCTTTATTTGCTTAGCCTCATACTCTAGCACTAAAGGCCTCGGCTCTACTTCTGACTTTTTGGTGGTTAATTGGGGATTAACCAGACTTTCCTGTATGGGCTGGCTTCAAATGGTGATCCTCAACTCTCAGCCTCTGAGTAGCTAGGATTGTTTTGTGCCCTGGGAAGGGCCTCTCGCAGGGCCTCCACAGAGCTTGGCCAGCGCCTCCTGTGGGCCTTGTGGGCAGGGGTGCTCACCGACAGGCTTCCTCCTCCTCCTGACGCAGGGAGAGGACGGGTGTGCAGAGGCTGCCTCAGTGTCCCCAGGACAGGATCGGGAAGTGCCAGGCCCCTCGGGGGGACAGCCCGCGGGGGCTGAACTGTAACCATGCAGGGGCTACAGAGGAGCAGCAGGGGAAACCCTGACAAGACAGCCCTTGGCTATGCGCTGGCGTGCCCAGTCACTCCTCTCAAGGTTGAAGCGGGCGGCGGGAGGGCCAGTGGCCCACGCATGGCCGCCACAAGGCATCTGTATAAGCAGGTGCACAGAACAAGGACTGCCAGGCAGAGAGGAGCAGGGCTGGGAAAGACCCTACCTCTACCCTGCTGTGCCACGTAGTACCCAGGCATCTCCTACCCTCCTGTCCTCCGAGAACAAAACCAGTCAAGTGGGGCCAGCCACATCGCCACAGCAGCTGACTAGCCCAGGTGTGCAGTGCCTGGCGCACGGCACGAGCTGCTACCTCGCCCCCGCCTCCTGTTCCCCCCGCACCCAGCTGCAAGGCCTGCAGCTTTCCCGTGGCCAGGGCCCGGGGTGAGCGGCAGACGCCGGGAGGGCAGCAGCTGACAGCTGGCTGAAGTGGGGGGGCAGGCTGGGGCGCTGGGGTCTCCAGCCTGGATTTTATACTGCAGTCATCAGCAAGAAGCGACAGAGGCTCTGGGGAGGAAGAGTGGAAAGTAAAAGCAGCTGAAAAATCCTGGACTTAAGATGGATTCCTGGCCACACACTGTGTATGTGTGTACGTGCGTGCATATGTGTGTGTGTGTGTGTGTTGATGGGGGGGAGGGGAAGGTGTCAAAGGTCGGAGGGGAGGTAGGGTGAGGACCAGCATGACTCTCGGCAAAAGATGGTTCTGAGGGACCATGAGAGGGACAGTGGGGAGCCAGGAGCTCTGAGGAACCGGGAGCACAGAGGAGCGGGAGCACAGAGAACGGGGAGAATGAGTGGCTGGGAGCAGGGCGCAGCTGGAACATGGGCTCTCAGAGTCTAGAACTGCAGTGATGCTCTCACCTACTAGCACAAGAAAGCTGAGACTCGTGATGGAGCAGACGGCACAGGACAGGACAGGGACACCGCGCCCCTGGGCTCCCCGGGCTCCTCATCCATTTCTCCTGGCCTGTCTTTTCTGCTGGGCACTGGTGGCTCAAGCCTGTAATCCTAGCTGCTCAGGAAGCTGATATGTAAAGACTGTGGTTCAAAGCCAGCCCAGGTAGGAAAGTCTGTGAGACTTTTATCTCCAATGAACCACCAAAAATGCTGGAAGTGGAGCTTAAAGTAGACCACTATCCTTCAGCACAAAAAGCTCACGGATAAAGCCTAGGCTCTGAGTTCAAGCCCCAAGATGTCTGTCTGTCTTCCATCCCTTCAAAAGTCAGCTAAGAGTATCAAGTATAATTACGAGTGATCATTTAGGAGATGAAGACCAGACTGGCTAAGAACTAGAGAGTCTGGAGACAGGGGGAGTCCTGGGGTACAGTGCTGTTCCACACCCACCCGACTGGAGGCTACTGAGGTGGTGGCACTGGGCATGGGCTGGGGGCATGCACAGCCAGAGCGCGAGAGCCATGGCTTTAGAGAGGAGCGAGCCAGGAGAGCCGTGACACCCTCGCGCATGCTATCGAGTGTCCGTTCGTGGCAGACGCAGCGCTGCATGTTACCATGTGAGGGAGGTGGGGTTCGGATCAGCCACTTTCTCATTCTGACAGCCAGGCGAACTACTCCTGTGAACCTTTGGGTTCTTGACCTCTGCTTCGGCAAGAACCTGCTTTTGTTTTACTTATCAGGATTCTGCTTAAACAGTGTTTGAAAACAACTAGATGTGATTTCTTGGATCCCTTCATTCCAGAGTTCTAAATCTCTCCTGCAGACTACGACCTGAAGAGCAACACATTCTGATTATGTAACTCACGAGGGCAGAGCAATGCATCTCAGAGCAGGCAACCTTTCACTCTGAGCTCGCTGGAGCGGACGTCACAGGGATGGGTTATTGATCAGAGAGCAAAGCAGGGTGGAGAGTTTCACTGTCACACCCACCACTGTGGGAGACTGAGCTCAGGATTGCTAAGGTCTGGCTCAGCAAAGTGGCTGGAGATGCAGCACATGACACCAGAGAAGTTAAGAGGAAAATGACAGCCCAAACTCTCAATCTCAGCCTCAGCAGCAGAATGAACACTTACAAAAAAACGTTTCAAACATCAGCAGCAGAAGAAAGTGCCAAGAGGTACAGCTTCTGATAAAAAGCAATAAAAAAAAGAAGTTGAGATGAACTAAGAGCTCCAGCTTCCCCACAGCTGGAGTTCAAAGCACACGCAGCATGCAATGCAGATGCAAGCCCTGCTGTGTGCCTGGCCTCTGCGGCCTGCCTGCACTTGCTTCAGGGCACCTCAACACTGAGACAGAGGTGGGGACAGAAGACAGAAGACAGGCCATTTCAGCGTACCAAGCCTCTCCCCGCAGCTCTTGTGTCTTTGCATGACTATATAGGGTATCTTATTAGAAACCACACCGGTTGGGTGCTGGTGGCTCACGCTTGTAATCCTAGCTACTCAAGAGGCTGAGATCTGAGGATCGCGGGTAGAAGCCAGCCCATGCAGTTAAGTCTGTGAAACTCTTATCTCCAATTAACCACCAGAAAACCAGAAGTGGAGTTGTGGCTCAAAGTGGTAGAGCACTAGCTTCAAACGAAAGAGCTCAGGACATCGCCTAGGCCCTGAGTTCAAACCCCATGACTACCACCACGACCAACAAAGCTGGGTACTGGTAGCTCATGCCTATAATCCTAGCTACTCAGAAGGCTAAGATGTGAGGATCGTAGTTCAAATCCAGCCTGGGCAGGAAAGTCCATCAGACTCTTACCTCCAATTAACCACTAGAAAACTGGAAGCAGCGCTGTGGCTCAAAGTGATAGAGCACTAGGTTTGAGCACAAGAACTCAGGGACAGGGGGCTGGGAAGGTGGCTCAGTGGTAGAGTGCTTGCCTTTGCATGCACGAGGCCCTGGGTTCAATTCCTCAGCACCACACAAACAGAAAAAGCCAGAAGTGGCTCTGTGACTCAAGTGGTAGAGCGCTAGCCTTGAGCTGAAGAGCTGAGGGACAGTGCCCAGGCCCAGAGTTCAGGCTCCATGACTGACAAAAAATAAAAAAATAAAAATAAAGAACTCAGAGACAGTGCCCAGGCCCCAAGTTCAAGCCCTCCGACCGACAAAACAACAACCTCCCCTCCCAACCCAAATGACCGCACTGCTTTGTGGTAGGATTTTAAATGGGCCTGCTGGGTCCTCTACCCGCTGTGTATCTGTCCCTGAAGCTCTGCCAATGCCAGGAGGATGACACCGGCAGCAGGGGCTGGGGAAAGGCTTCCCTACTTACTTGGGGTGGCTGTAGATCCAAAGCTCCCGCTGGCCGAGCTGAACGGGTTTTTGTTGGCTGCGTCCTGGCTGGGTTTTCCTCCAAGGCCGCTGAAGAAGCCTCCCCCTCTCCCAGCGTTTCCAGACCCGAACACGCTCCCGCTGGAAGTGGGGGACTGCTAGAAAACAAAGGGGCAGGAAGCAAGGCAGGATGAGAGGTCACCGTGGAACGACAGGCCACGTCCGTGGCAGGAGGGCACACATGGAAAAAGCAAGAGGACTTGATTAGCTTTGGAAGGGGAGAAGCAGGGCCCTGGCCGGGGCTTCCTGTACACAGCGGTTCCCAAGCTCGTGCGTGGTAGGCGGGGACTGTCTGTGTTGCTCTTGCCCTGTGGTGTCTGACACCATGCCAGGGGTGGGCAAAGCAATCCCCCAAGAGCTTCACCAAATAAAGAAGTTGGAAAATGATTTAGACCTCTCGAGCACTTGTTGTTCCTTCTAATCTTTGGCTGAACTCACTGGCAGCTGGTGGCGAGTGATTTTTGTCATTTCTCTAATGTGCACATGGGATTCCGGACAGCTCTGCGCACGTGGCGGGAGCTCTGGCGCTGGACGCCGACTCCACCACGCGTCAACTCCGAGCTGCTCCAAGCACCGCACTGGATTTCTGTGGAAACTGGTTCTTTAAGGACATCCAGGAGGGTGGTGTTCCCTTTGATGAAAGCTGACCTTAGAAATGGGCAGCCCCGCAGGAGCCTGTGGATGGCCCATCCGGGGGACCAGTGGTGCTGTAAGATGGGGTTATTACACTGCCCACCTCAGGTTGGAGAGTGAATTCAATGAGCTCAGAGATGAACTTGCCTCACACAGCAGTGCCTGAACAAGTCACCTGCTCAGAAACCTGGCTGCTGGTTAAAAGGACGGCAGTGTCCCTGTGCTAGGGACTCTGTCTCATCCTGCTCTGCCTGGCACACCCAGCTGTCACCCTGGGCCGAGACTAAGGCAATATGTAACGAGTCGGGGGTAGCTCCTCACTTCTGTTCACAAGTGCCAAGATCCCTCCCTGACTCACCTCTGCCACACCAAAGAAGTGCCAGCACTCTAGCTGTCTTTTGGACCCCAAACACAAAAAACAAACTCTTGCCTTAGCCAGAGTTCTAATGTGTTTTCATTTTTTTCTTTTTTCTTTTTTTGGGTCCAGTCGTGGGGCCTGAACTCTGGGCTTGGGCACTGTCCCTCAGCTCTTCAGCTCAAGGCTAGCGCTCTACCACTTGAGCCACAGCGCCACTTCTGGTTTTTTTCTTTTTGCTTAAGTGGTGCTGAGGAATCGAACCCAGGGCCTCAGGCATGCAAGGCAAGCGCTCTATCACTGAGCCACCTTCCCAGCCCTTCTAATGTGTTTTCAATCTCTCTTTCTTACTGTCCTTGAACTCATCTGCTCAAGGCTAGTGTTCTACCACTTGAGCCACAGTGCCACTTCCAGTTTTCTGGTGGTTTATTGGAGATAAGAGTCACAAACTTTCCTGCCTAGGCTGGCTTTGGAACTGTGATCCTCAGATCTCAGCCTCCCGAGTAGCTAGGATGACAGGCATGAGCCACCAGCGCCTGGCTTAGTCTCTTCAGACTTCTTTAAAAATGACAGGAATTCAGCAGCCATTCGGGGACGAGGAGCTTTGCACAACTAGAATCCAATCATGAAAGCCAAAGCTTTGCTAAGGGCTGAGCAGGAAACCATGACGACTGAGGAACTCATGGATAGTGTGAGACCGGGCAATGTCGAGGACCAGCCCGGCCTTCTACAGCTATCCACAGAAACAAGCAGGGTGGTGGGGGGGGGAGGGGGGAGGCTGGGAAGGGAGGTGAAGGGTAAACAAAGGAGGAGGCTGCAATGCTTGGTAAGAAATGTATGCATTATCCTGCCCATGTAATTGTAACCCCTCTGTACAGTATGTTCTCAAATAAAATAAAATAAAATTAAAAAAAAAAAGAAACAAGCAGGGGTGGGTCTGAACATACTTCATGAGGCAGAAGGAGCCAGCAGTTATGGCATCCTCAGGGCAGGTACTGAGCACAGGGCAGTTAAGGCATCATCAGGGCGGGTACTGAGCGTCCTTCACCGAGTGAATGAGTCCAGCAGGTACTGCATCCTCATAAACGCACTCAACAGAACCCCATCCATTGCGATTGAAATAAACAACAGCGTTTTAAAATTGAAGTTATAGCAAACTGAACAAGTGCACAGAAAGTTCAGTTTTTTGGTCGTATTCACTGTGCTGTTACACTTTTCCAACCACTTTTCACTTTCTTTTTTAAACTTCCAAATCTCTGCAGAGATGCTATACTCAACTATTTTTTCCAATATTTTCTTGTAAATCCTAGAGCATAGCAGCTATTTTTAAGTTGTTGTCTCTAGTTCTAACATTTGGATTATCTCGAGGTTTTACTTGCTGACTTAAAAAAATCTGATTGCAAGCTGGGCACTGATGGCTCATGCTTATAATCCTAGCTACTCAAAAAGCTAAGATTTGAGGATCACAATTTGAAGCCAGCCTGGGCAGGCAAGCCTATGAGACTCTTTATCCCCAATAAAAAAAAAAAAAAAGCCAGAAGTGGAGCTGTGGCTCATGTGGTAAGAGTGCTAACTAGCCTTAACCACAAAAGCTCAGGGATAGCACCCTGGCCCTGAGTTCAAGACTTAGGACTGGTAAATGCAGTGGTCCAACTGTCTTCTGCCTGTCTTTATAACTGAGAGAAGTCAGCCTGTCAGCCCAGCCTGTGCTCTCACTGTGATAGCAGATATTCTTCCCTGCACTCTGACATGTGCTGGCTTTGGGAATTTTCAGTCCTTCACTCTTCTAATACAGCAATACATATTCTCCCTTTCTCTTCTGGGGCTCTGGCTAAATGTGTTAGATTTTCTGCTTGGTGCTTCCTTTTTTCTCTCTCTGAAGCATTCAGTGTATTTCTTCTCTTTCAAGAGCCAGTGAATTACAGTTTTGGGGCCCAATCTTATATAATCTGTGTTTTTTCTGTTTTTTTTTTTTTTTTTCTTTTGGGTTTTTTTGTTTTTGGTCAGTTGTGGGTCTTGAACTCTGGGCCTGGGCGCTGTCCCTGAGCTCTTCAGCTCAAGGCTAGAGCTCTACCACTTGAGCCACAGAGTCACTTCTGGCTTACTGGTAAACCTGTGTTTGTAAATGAAACTTTACCTGTGTTGTACATTGTGAGATGAGGCTGCTTTGTGCTGCAGCCAGGGCTGAGCAGCTGTGAAAGAAACTGAACACAGTTCTCAGCCCCGAACACTGACCCACTGAAATTTTATTATACTTCTCTACAAGTTCTACTTGGTTTGTCTTCAAAGTTGTTATATATGCTTTGTACAGCTTCCTATTCTTTACAGGCATTTTGAAGTTTGCCTTTCATTTCTCTTAAGCATGTAGAACAGTTGTGCTTTAGAGTCGAACAGTCTCTGCAAGTCGTTTCTGGTGTTTATTTTGGCTCTGGCTCGTGGCTGCTGTGAGAATCGGCATCCCAAGGGTCACTCCTAAGTCTAATGGGAGTTTAGAGCGAATGAATGTCCTGTCAGACATCTGGAGGCACCACTGTTCGGGGGGCCATGTACACAGGGTGAGCTCCAGGAATCTGAGTCCCCCCTAAGTGTGGGAGAACATCACCTTTGTATGCATTTTAGTATTTTCTGCTCCTTTGACCGTGGGGCTCCTTAAATACAAAGTTCCAAGTTTCTCAGGTTAACGAAGTCCTTGGGCCAGAAATGGCGTCTGTGCTTACTTTCCTCCTCTAGGTTCCCGTTTTCCTGTGAATCTGGCTTGGTGAAATACCATATTAGCTTTGAAGATATGACTTCTGGTTTCATCTCATAGTTTTCGTCGTGATCTGGTTTGAATGACTTAGGTTCCCATTACCAGATGTGGAAATCAGAAGTTTCATTTCTCTCTTTTGAGAAAGATCACCGAGAGCTGGGAAGGTAGCTTAGTGGTAGAGTGCTTGCCTTGCACGCATGAAGCCCTGGGTTCAATGCCTCAGTACCACATAAGCAGAAAAGGCTGGAAGCAGCACTGTGGCTCAAGTGGTAGAGTGTTAGCCTTGAACACAGAGAGGCTCAGGGACAGTGTCCACGCCCTGAGTGCAAGGCCCAGGACCGGCAAAAAAAAAAAAAAAGATCACTGACTAGGGCAGAGCCCATCTGCCAAGCCAGGGGTTGATAAAACCTCTGAGGAGCCGGCCGCCGGTGGCTCACGCCTGTCATCCTAGCTACTCAGGAAGCTGAGATCTGAGGATTGCGGTTCAAAGCCAGCCCAGGCAGGAAAGTAGACTCATCTCCAATTAAGCACCAGAAAACCGGAAGTGGTACTGTGGCAAGTGGTAGAGCGCTCGCCTTGAGCTGAAGAGCTGAGGGACAGCGCCGAAGCCCGGAGTTCAAGCCCCATGACGGACAAAAAACAAACAAAAAAACCTCTGAGGAAGATCACGCTGCCTGCCAGTTACGTACTCACTGCTCTGTAGTCATGCGCCCTAACTGCCCTTACAGCCGCGCCCTCTTTCCATGCCACAGACACCTTCCTTCTGAAGGGAGGGCTTCTCAGGAGGCAGCCAGGGTGCATGCTGGACTTCACTGTTCTCAGCTTTCAAATGGGAGCAACCACCGCTCCCATCCCTAGAGTAGCTGTGATGATGAGTTTGAGTCATTCAACAAGGCACTTACAAGGATGCGCGGGCCTTGCTGGCACGCCGGGGATGCTGCTGGATCAAGAATAGCAGCTCAGGGCACTGGAGGAGGCCCAGGACTGCAAACAGCTCAGCGCAGTGGCAGCATGTAGTGTCCACTGTACCTTCTCCCACCAGCCCAGCAACCACTTAAAAATGTAAAAACCATTCTTAGCTTGCGGTCTTCAAAGGAAACAAGGCCTACAGGTAGACCTGGCCTGAGGATTGCAGTTTGACAACCCTTGGCCTAATAAAACAGGCAGAAGATTGACTGAAGGCAGCAAGTCCTTCCCCCAGGACTGACAACAGATGAAGTCCTGGTGGTTGGCTCTCTGTAATGCAAGGTGGCAGCTGCTTGTCTGCCCTCAGGGCAGCTTAAGCAGCACGCATGGCTGTCTGCTGGGCCTGGCCTGGCCACACAGCATAAACTGACTCAGTTACACTGGGGAGAATGGGGGGAGATGTGGACACGCACGGAGACAGAATGTATTTACCTGGCCAAAGACTGTTCCACCAGTATTGGCGGCTTGACCAAACACAGAACCAGTGTTATTAGATCCGAAACCTACAAAACACAAAGAAAACGAAAGTTCAACTTGGATGAGTCTTAAACAGTAAAGACATTAAAAAAAAAAAAAAAAGGCACGCAAGTGTGCTGTTACCCTGCCACCAATCAACTTGAGTGAAACTGCTTCCTCACTGAGCACACCAGTTCCTGTGTCCTCCAGACCCTGTGAGGTAGCAGCACGCCTGCACAGAGGCTGCACCTCCCGCCGTCTTCTCTCTGTAAATCACCTCGATTGCTGATAGCACGCAGTACAGTGCAAATGCCTGCCCAGCCCCCATGTTCTCTAACTCATCTCTGGATTACTTACAATGCCCAGTACAACATACATGGTACCTAAGTAATTGCTGTATTATTTAAGCAATAATGATAAGAAAAACTCTGCATATGTCAGCACAGTCTGGTTTTTGGTCAGTTATTTTCGCTCTGTGGCTGTATCTGTAACTGTGGAATTCAGAGGCCTGACTTCATAGCTTTTTGTAATAATCCTTCTTTTACCAGTGGATGTGGGTCAGTAAGATGGCATAGTCTCAGAGAAGCTTCTCCTGGGACTCAGCCACCAAGAATGCTTTCCAATCACTAGCATTATAGATACTTTTCCTCCCTACTCACCGGCACCTCAACCTCCCAGGTGACAGAACGCATGGTGGAGACGCCGGGCTGATGAGGGCCAGGATAGTTTGGCACAATGACACACTGCAGCAAAGAGCTGGAGATCTGTGCTCGTTCCTGATACTGACTGAGCAGGTGAGCTGGCGCGGAGGGCTGGAGGGCAGCGCGCAGCCCTCCACACAGCACGAAAGGGAAGAGGGCCAGCCCTTCGGGGGCTCTGAATCTGGTCACCTGGCTTGCTAGGCAGATTTTTTTGAGATCTGACTGCAGAAGCAAGTGTATGAGAGACGGGGGCAGTGCAGGGCACCCTGTAGCCTTCTATTTGTCCCCACAGGGGACACACCAGCCCATCTCAGGCCTCAGGTGAACCTCAAAACTATCTCTTTACCACTGTGTCCTCCTTACAGCTGAACTTGGTAACAGCTTAACATGTACTGGAAGAGGGAAAACATTTCCATCCTAATCAATCCTAAGCCACTTTTGAATTATCATCCTCAGAATGAATGAACATTTCATTATTTTCCCCCAGAGCTTAGCTGCTGAAGGGCTGCCTTTCATTATGGAAGCATCAGAAGCCACGCTTAGGACAGGTCCTGGCACTGCTCTGTCTACTGGTGGCTTTTAGAAGTAAACATAGATGCTAAATTGGAGATATGATGCTGAAGCAGGTTTTGTTCTTTGAAACACAGTGAAACTGTTAAAAAAACATTATGATACTGAAAACAAGTAGAACTCAGCTCCTCAAATGGTAGGATCCACTCTTCAGACAAGTAAGATGGTGCCACAGGAAATAAGTAAAGGCCTACAGAGGAGGCGGTGAGGAGCCCGCTGCTCCTCTGACTTACAGCCAGCTCTGGCTCACGTGAGCTCGGCCTCCAGGGCCCTCGTGGGGACTCCCAGCCTTTAACAAGCCTCTCCAATGGAAAAGTTCACCACTCTGAGCCACCAAGTTACTTGCCATGACTTTGAATTAAAGATAGTTGGTTTTTCGCCATGGAATTGGCAGTATGGTAGCTAGCAGAGTAGAGCTTGCTGGGGAGGAAACCTGGAGCTAGGCCGGGCCTGCTAGCTCCGACCCGGCCGGAGCATCTCCCAGGACTGCGGGTGCTCCCGGCGCCCTTCTCAATCTGACACGTTCTCTTTCGCTCCCTCTCCCTTTCTTTCAATGACACAGCAGTAAGCTTGCTGCCAATGCTCCAGATGGTCCAGGGAGGAACAAAGTAATAATCCGCTGCACACTCTTACCTGAAGCTTGACAGAAGCTAAACCCCGAGAGTGCCGCTGTGGACGTGGTGGCCGAGGTGCCGCCGAACACTGTGCCTCCCTGCCCAAAGCTGGGGCTCTGGCCGAACGCGGGAGCGTTGCTCTGGCCAAATAGCCCCCCGCCCGTGTTGGTAGAAGACTGTCCAAATGAGAAGGAGCCAGAGCTGCTGGCGCTCGAGGAAGCCCCGAAGACGTTTCCCGTGGTGGACGAGGGGGTGGAGGACACGGCTTGGCCAAAGGCGGGCCCAGAACCGAACCCAGGCTGGTTGAAGGAAAAGCCGCCAGCTGGGCTGCTTGTGGCCTGTCCAAAGGCCGGGGCCTGACCAAATGTCGCCTGTCCAAAGGCCCCGGAAGCAGAAGTGCCGAAGGCAGGGCTGCCAAACCCTGGGCTGCTGGCCTGTTGTGTGGTGGCGGCAGTGCTGGCGATGCTGCCCGTCTGCTGCCCGAATAGGCTTGGTGCGGTGCTGGCCGCCACCTGACCAAACACCGGGCTGGGCGCAGGGGCAGAGGCTGTGCTGCTGGAGAGCTGGCTGAACGCCGAGCTGACGGCGGGTGGCTGGGTGAAGACTGAGGAGCCCGAAGTGACAGTGCCAAACACTGCTGTGTCTGTGGTAGGGCCTGGGGCAGTGCTGGGCACGGTGTTGCTGCTGGTAGGGGTGCCTGCAGCTTCGACGGCCCCTGGGCCCGCAGCCGGGAGCGGAGCTGCTCCCACGGCGGCCTGCGTGGGGGCGGCGAAGGTGGATGCGGGAGAGGCTGCCTCCGTCTTGACGTCGGGGCTCCCCACGGCCGCTGGGGTGGCCTCAGCAGAGGGGGCCGTGTGGCTGGCGGCAGATGCCGTGGTGCAGGGACTCCCGATTGCCGGCTGCGTGAGCACGGGTTCTTTTTTACTGGTGTCGGAGGCTGGCGGCGGAGGCGGGGGCTGAGGCTGGGCCGCCGCGGGCTGTGCTGGGAGTGAGGCTGTGGGCGCCGAGGCCTCACCGTGGCCTGACTTCTCAGGTGCAGCCGATGCCTGGGGCTCTTCAGGGCACTTTCCAGAAGACCCGGGCAGGGGGGAAGCAGTGGGCGAGCTCAGGAGGCTGCTGAAGGACAGGGTGGGGAAGGGCGCTGGGAGGGCAGGGGCCGAGGAGGCTGGCAGGGGGGCAGGCAAGGAGCTTGGGTTACTGATCTGCGGGCTTCCAAATGAAAAGCTAGACTTGCTGCTGCCCAGAGACATCCCCCCAAAACTGGCCACCCCAGCAGGTCCCGTGCTGCTGAGACTGCCAAAGACCGCAGTGGAGGAACCGCTGGCGCTGGTGCTGGGCGCTGCAGTGCTGGTGGGCGCGGAGGTGGTGGGGGGCTCGGCGGGCTTCCCTAATGCCGCAGAGCCCGGGAAGCTAAAGCCCGAGGACACGCTGGGCTTGGCTGGCTGGCCACCGGACAGGCTGGCGGGCGGAGCCTTACTGGGTGGCTTGGCAGAGTCCTCGGCCTGGCCCACCCGCAGGCCTGAGAAACTGCCGAGCGTCTCCCCAGACGCAGAGCTTGGGAACAGCAGCTCTCCCCACTTGGATGGCGTCTCCAGCTTGCTGGAGGAGGTGGTGGCGGCCAGGGCGGCCCCGGGCGGGGCGGCTGGCCTGCTGCTGGACGCCGGAGACTCGGCTTCGGCAGGGGAGGAGCCCTCTGGGATGGGCTCGTAGAAAGGCTGGCCTCCCCCGCCCAACGACAACGTCTCCAGCTGGTTTGACTCTTTGGTGGCTGGTGTCACCGCTAGGCAAGAAACAGAAATTGAGAGATGGGTTAGACTCCGCAAAATACCACTTAACAAGTTTCCACTGGCTTCTCTCTCCTCCAGGGTAGACAAGTTGTTTTAACAGTGGCATCCTCCCAGGGGGCCGGAGGGGATAAATGGAAACTTCCCCACGGAAGCATTAACCTAGCCCAGGCATCTCACTAGGTAGGAACAAACAAGTATGGTTTTTATGAACCAAAGAAAAACAGAAAAGGCACCTTGGCTACCTCAGCCCTGAACTGAGGGTGCTCTGCCTCATACACCCCAGCCCGGCCTGGCAACACCTGACAGCTCTGCCTTTATTGCTCAAGGGCACAAAATGCCAACTACAGACCACACTGACACACGCAGGAGCTACTCCTGACTAACCACTGGTGCTGTACTGAGCTCTTTATGGATTGCTGTCTCTTCTCACATTAGCTAAAAGGTGATGTGGAATCACTGTTTATTCCTATTTCATTTTCCTCACTATTTTTGACAATGATTTTGTTCCTTTCCAATTTTTTATATCGCGGTGGTGCTTTCCTGTACAAATGGGGGAGAAAGCAGGCCTCAGGGTGTATTGACACAGTTCAGTTGTCAAAGGTTAAAAGAAGACCTTACAAATTTCTGCTCATCAGAGAAAGGAATGAAATCCCTGACCTTTTCTGGGTCACGCTTGGATCAGGGTCAAGATGTCTACTATGGTTTCAGACCCCTGGCCCCTCTAACACTTTGAGTATTCTAACTAGCATTAAGAAAAGTATTTGTGGCGCACTATAGTGTATGCCTACAGTCCCAGCTATGGACACAGGAAGATCATTTGAACCCAGGAGTTGGAGACCAGCCTGGACCACATAGAATTCTCCTACCTAATAATAAAATAAAAAGCTGGGCACTAGGGTCTCACACCTGTAATCCTAGCTATTCAGGAGGTTGAGATCTGAGGATTCCAGTTCAAAGCCAGCCCAGGCAGGAAAGTCTGTGAGATTCTTAGTGGTGCTGTCGCTTAAGTGGTAGAGCTCTAGCCTTGAACTGAAGAGCTGAGGGCCAGAGCTCAGGTCCAGAGTTCAAGCCCCATGACCGACCAAAAAAATAAGTCTCACGGACTTTCCTGCCCCAGCTGGCTTTGAACTAGGATCCTCAGATCTTAGCCTCCAGAGTAGTTAGGATTACAGGCATGAGCCACCAGCGCCTGACTAGTTCTATCTTAATGTTAACATTTAAATGCTAATGGGTAGCTTTGACTTTCCAGAAGCAGATTCTCTCCTTGATCTGAACTGCAGAGCCCGCTGTGTTAGTTTCTTATACAGAACCCTGGGGGTGTTGCAGTGAAGCATAGCAGCACACACCGGCAAGCGGCCTGCTGACGTACCTAGCCCTTACGCCAAATGCTAAGTAAGTCTTATCTATACAAAAATAACTGCGTTTGTTTAAGGAAACACAAAAGTGATCTATTCAATGCAGAGACTATACCTTGGGTGGCAGTGAAATTAGAAGACGGTGTTGGTGCAATTATCCCAAAATTAAAGCCAGCTCTGCCAAGTAAAAAAAAGAGACGTTAAAAAGCAACAAACCAAAGGCACATCTTCCTCTTAGTACTGCAATTCCTTCAGACCATCTGCCCCTGAGGACATATCTTAGGGACAATGCAACCACCTCAATATCTTCAAGGAGGGAGAGGCAATTTGTCAGGGAGGGAAGAGGGGCAGCAGGGGGAGGCCTTGGAAGCATGGTGGCTTCTCAACGCAGAGGCCTGAGTGGAGACTGATTCCAAGTAGAGCAAAGGAGCAGCAGTAGGACAGCAGGCATGTGTACCAGAAACAGAAATTAGGGAAGCTGCTTGGCCAGTGTGGGAGTGGGGGAGAAACCTGGCCAGCAGCAGCAGACTAGAGTCAGAGTCCTCTCAGAGTCCTCCCATGGTCAAGGGGCAGGCCAAGTGAGCCCCATGCTACTGAGACAGAGGCTGGATGGAATGCAACGGAAACCTTGCCTCAGCAGCTTTGACAGAAGTGGTGGAATTCTATCAAAACTACAGACAACACATAATGTCTTCCCTCAAGCTGGGAAGGTGGCTCAGTGGTACAGTGCTTGACAAACATGCATGAAGCCCTGGGTTTGATTCCTCAGTACCACATACACAGAAAAATCCAGAAGTGGCACTGTGGCTCAAGTGGTAGAGTACCCTGGCCCTGAGTTCAAGCCCCAGGACTGGCCAAAAAAAAAAAAAAAAAAGTCCTCCCTCCTTTTTCCCCCTGTTGGGCTGAAGGATATTCCTGAAAAACACTGACGTCAGGGGAAAGGGGTGTGGCTAACGATTCCAGCCAGACAACAAAAAACTGAAAGCACTCAAGGGTATTCATTCAGTACAGGGCTTGAACTCAGGGCTTTGCGCTTGCTTCTGGCTGGCTGAGTGGAGCTCTACCCACTTGATTCATGACTCCAGCCTGGCTTTTTGCTGGTTATTTTAGAGATGAAGTCTCGAGGACTTTTCTGCCTAGGTGGCTTCTAACCATATCTGCCAGATCTCAGCTTTCTGAGCAGTTAGCTAGGATTACAGATGAAAGCCACCATGTGGTTGAAAGCAGCTTTTCTTTTTGTCAGCTGTGGTGCCTGAACTTAGGGCCTGGGTGCTGTCCCTGAGCTTTTCACTCAAGGCTAGCACTCTACCACTTTGAGTCACAGCACCACTTCCAGTTTTCTGGTGGTTAATTGGAGAAGAGTACTACAGACTTTCCTGCCTTGGCTTGCTTCGAATCACAATCCTCAGATCTCAGCCTCCTGAGTTAGCTAGATCTACAGGCATGAGACACCAGCACCTGGTTCTGAAGGGGCTTTGGTAATGGAAGTGAACACACAACCAGGGAATGGCAATGAATGTAGGGACAGGTGTGATCTCAATCTATCTAACTGCACCTGCATATGGCTGGAGAGCTGGCACTGGCTCCACAGTGAACAAGACTACCTTGTAAGGCTTAGAAGAGTCCGTCCTGAGTGACTCAGCTTTACACATATAGCCATCAGTATTTCTTTTTTCTTTTTTTTTTGGTCCTGGCACTTGAACTCAGGGCTTGGGCATTATCTCTGAGCTTTTATGCTCAAGGTTGGTGCTCTACCACTTGAGCCACAGCTCCGCTTCCAGCTTTTTGGTGGGTAATTGAAGTCTCATAGACTTTCCTGCCTGTGCTGACTTTAAACCTTGATCCTTAGACCTGAGCCTCCTGAATAGCTAGGATTACAGGCATGAACCATTGACACCTGGAAGTATTTCTTAACAAAATGAAACACATCCTCCAATCGATATGAAAACTAAAGTATGAAATAGTGGCCATCTTCCCTTGCACTCTCTATGCAGGACAGTGATTAGAAGTAAAGCAAGGGCTGGGAATGTGGCTCAGTGGTAGAGTGCTTGCCTAGCATGCATGAAGCCCTGGGTTCGATTCCTCAGTACCACATACACAGAAAAAGCTGTAAGTGGTGCTATGGCTCAAGTGGTAGAGTGCCAGCCTTGAGCATAAGAAGCTCAGGGACAGTACACAGTGCCCAGGCCCTGAGTTTAGGCCCCAGGACTGGCAAAAAAAAAAAAAAAAGAAAGAAAGAAAAAAAGCCAATTCAAGTGTTATGTACAGCCCTTAAAGGGGTCAGAATGAAAATACCTTCAGTGTGAGAAACCTGATGACCAGGGTTAGAATTTTATTAGATAATTTAAAGGACTTGGTACCCCCAAAAAAGGGCTTAGGTGAACAACTGAAACGAACGAATAGGTAGGAATGCACGCAGAGAGCCCCAGCTCCAAAGGGAAAGGGGAACGGGCTTTCAGAACACTCAGTGCGTAGCATGCTGGCCACTGCTGGCAGAAGCTGCCCCAAGCTGTGCCACAAGCACATGTGGTATGCCACAAGCACATGTGATAAACATGTGCACAGCCCTGCTGATCTGAACAAAGACTTGGAGGAGCTCTTTGTGATCTACCACAAAACCTAAGTGCACCACTGACCCAGAGGGAGTGAAGGAGAAAGGCTTGCTGAAGTGTCCCGCGGCAGACGGCGTGGAGCTCACAGCTGCTTCTGTCTTGGCTGGCCCTGAAAATGATGGAAAATAAAACAAAACAGAACAGGAAATGAGGCCATTTCAAAAAGCTGGCTTGAAGCTCCAATTTGTAATTCCCTGCTCTTAGACAAGGTAGGTGGGCTCAAAGCCACCCCTTTAGGTTGAGAAGCCCAGACACCCTCTGATAAGCAGGAGGTGAGCGCTGGCATGTTGCCTAATGTGGGCTCCGGGCAGAGCCTGCTGGTCAGCTCTGAGTCCGTCCAACACAATGTGCTCCACACCTGCCTTTCCAATATGCTCCACACCTGCCTTTCCAGAAAAGGACTCCAGTGCACTTCAATTCACAGCCTAACCCTATGTGCTTGGAGGTGCAGCTTTTCAGTATTTGAAACTAACATATACCAAAGGGACCAAGGGGAAAAAACTCCAAAGATAAATAGATTAATAGGCTAAACATTTCCGAGTAGTGACTTCTTGATACATTTCTGCATTTTTCATAGATTTTTGTATTGAACAAAAAGAATCATTTTCATTTTTTTCTATTGCATGGGAAGGCCTGTTATAGTACAGAGACATGTAGGAAGTTAAATGTAAAGCTGTCATCCTTCCTATGTTCAACCCCACTATCTACATACTAATAGTCTAGGGTGTAATCTCCAATCTACTTCCTGGCATATTTTAGTGGGGGGAGGGAAGAGAAAAGGAAACTATTTTAAAAGCCCCAATCCAAGTGAGCAATCATAAAAATCTTTTTCTTTAAAGGAATATGGGGTATATGTTAATAGAAGTTTTCAAAATGACAGGAGCATAATATAGTACTGTAAGCATGTTCAGTGCAGCTCAACACACAGTGAGAAACCCTGTGAACTGTGAGTAAAATACAGTGAAACCTAATGGGCTACACGATGAAAACCACACAGTGGACGGGTACAAGACCCAGCAAGACAGACAGGACACCCACTGCACGGGGAGAGAAACGAGGGAGCCGGGGAACAAAACCAGTATGAGCAGAGCATACCTGGTTTAAAAAAAAAAAAAAAAAAAGAGGCAATTTCAAACTATGTATCTGTAATGCCGTGAGGGGCACTTGCTATATTCCACATCTCTACAACACAGGCATTATTTCTATGACTATGTATGGAACCTTCTTTTTCCCCTCGGTTGTGGGGCTTGAACTCTGGGCCTGGGTGCTGTCCCTCAGTTCTGTAGTTCTGTTACTAACAAATATAAGAACTGTCCTGTTTTGGATTTTTTAAAAAAGAAACACTGTATAGCCAGGCGCCGGTGACTCACGCCTGTAATCCTAGCTACTAAGGAGGATCTGAGGATCATGGTTCAAAGCCAGCCAGGGCAAGAAAGTCTGTGAGATTCTAATCTCCAATTAACAACCAGAAAACTGGTAGTGGTGTTGTGGCTCAAGCGGTAGAGAGCTCGCCTTGAGCTGAAGAGCTCAGGGACAGTGCCCAGGCCCAGAGTTCAAGCCCCGTGACTGACCAAAAAAAAAAAAAAAACCAACACTGTACAAACTCAGATGGCCTTTTTTTTTTTTTTGGGTCCAGTTGTGGAGCCTGAACTCTGGGCCTGGGCGCTGTCCCTCAGCTATTCAGCTCAAGGCTAGCGCTCTACCACTTGAGTCACAACGCCACTTCCGTTTTTTTTTTCTTTTTTGCTTATGTGGTGCTGAGGAATCGAACCCAGGGCCTCATGCATGCAAGGCAAGCGCTCTACCACTGAGCCACCTTCCCAGCCCCTCAGATGGCCTTTTTAAGTGAAGTTTTCCTCCCAGGAGAAAAAGGTTCTGTTCTAAACCTTGGCTGTCCAGCAAGTGAGAGCAAGTAAAGGAGCACCAGTGAGCATCACTGACCAGTAACCACATGCCTCAGGCACTGGAAAGCACAGTCCCTCAGGCTTGCCTGATTCTTAACTTCCAGAGTGACAAGGAGCTCTCCAATCAAGTCTTTAAAAGAATTTAGGATATATGACTTTGCCAAACTTTTCCTAAAATAGTAGCCAGAAATAGACTGACTCTTAAATAATTGAAGTCTTATTGATACCACAAAGCTTTTCCGGTCCATATTAAACTTAAGGCACACTAGTGGAGAAGTCCACATACCTCCTCCATCTCTCCCCCTTCCTCTTCCTCCTCCTTTCTCACATGAGTGGTGTGTGAGGCTGCCAACTGTGGCTCCACATTAATCCAAATTTTAGAGTATACCCTTGTGCACACAATAATATGTATATTTTTGTTCCCCCTGCATATAAGAAACATTTTTTGGCCAGGCACCAGCGGCTCACACCTGTAATCCTAGCTACTCAGGAGGCTGAGATCTGAGGATCATGGTTCAAAGCCAGCCGGGGCAGGAAAATCTATGAGACTCTTATCTCTAATAAACCACTCAGAAAACTGGAAGTGGCACTGTGGCTCAAGTGGTAGAGCACTCACCTTGAGCAGAAGAGCACAGGGAGAGCACCCAAGCCCAAAGTTCAAGCCCCATGATTGACAAAAAAAAAAAAAAAGAGAGAGGGGCTGGGAAGGTGACTCAATGGTAGAGTGCTCGCCTTGCATGCATGAGGCCCTGGGTTCGATTCCTCAGCATCACATAAGCAAAAAGAAAAAAGCCGGAAGTGGCGCTGTGGCTCAAGTGGTAGAGCGCTAGCCTTGAGCTGAAGAGCTGAGGGACAGCGCCCAGGCCCAGAGTTCAGCCCACGACTGGACCCAAAAAAAAAAGAGAACGTCAAAAGTTTTTCCTAGTCCTGGAGTTTTTCAAACTCAATTCAAAATCGCAGAAGCTGCTCTGAAGGCCTTATTCACTTCCTAGAAGTTTCTCATCAGTAAGGCCTTGAAGGTAACCTCCATTTTTATTTCCTGTGCCAGATGTCTCTGAGATCTAGAAGACAATTCTTTCACCTTTATTTGCACTAACACACAAACGCGAACTGACCTGAGGCTTTGTCACCAGAGGACAAGTGACCGGGTGGTGGCATGGAACCTGACGGCTTTAGGGAAGGTATCAGAGAGCCCTGAAACAGAACAAGAAAATTGTTTAGGCTAAAGCACTAGTCATTCTTGGAATACAGGAGCAAGTATAATGTAAACGTGAAAACAAAGTAAACAAGCCAAAGTAAGAAGTGATATATTAGGTTCACTCAACTTAATTAAGCAAGGAAAAAGAAGACAAAAGAAATTGCCTGTACAATCATGCAGGGAGACAGAAGGACTGCTCTAGGAACTATGGCAAGGCAGGCATGGCAGTCTGGCACATGGCTATTTGCCCAGTGCCTAGTACTGTGCACGGCACACAAAAGGCCCTTGAATACTGAGTGGAGGAAATGAATGAGTGAGCAAGTGAGGGAGATGGATGAACTCCGGAGGAGTTCATGATAAGATGATAAAACTGTCCAGGTTCTCTGTGTCCAGCCAGTGGCTCTGCAGGCAGCTGTCACGCTTTATGCCTTCACACACATCCTCCGCAGTAAACATGGTCTCCAGAAGGATGTCCTATGCCGCGTGCTTAACTCACGGCAAACCAAGGCATGGGGGTCATGCTTGAGAACGCATGGTGGCCAAGTTCTGAGGTTCGTCTCAAGCTCTGATCTCAAACACAATCTGAAGTTCCTTGTATCAAAGACAAATGTAGGTTGGGAGAAACCACGATTCCTTAAGGGAAGTTTCAGAAGGAGTGCCACCTACCTTCCAGCCATCTCCTGTTATTTTCTTCAGTGTGGTTGCATCTGTTTACAGTTATGTAACCTACTTTTGTAGAAGTGTGTTTTTATTATTCAAAAGGCCAAAGCTAGACATAATATCACTAGAAATATGCAAACGCTAAGAAGAGACTAAGAGAAAACACGAGCCATCCACCCATTGGTCACTTATACAGTACAGCAGCCAGCAAAGACTGGATGTCTGTAGCTGGGGTCCAGCTCTGGCGCACCCAGCCACTGACTACTGCACAGCTCACATGGGTCTCTTGGACCAGGGCTGCTTCATCAGTGAGACACATCTAGACACCTCGTGCTCTTGATCAGCTGAGATAATGTGAAGTGGAATAAACTGAAAACCAAAACTCCTCACCCAAATATAGAGTATTAGAATGCCAACAGCTGGTGTAGAATGACCGAGGACCTGTGAAGACGCAGCGGGTCCTGCCTGGCTGCTCTGCTAACCATGGCAAGAAAATGTCTAGGCCCAAGCGCCTCCTCGCAGGTATACAAAGTAATGTACAGACGGAACCACCTCCCAAGAGAAGGAACAAAGGACCTTTTTTTAATTGGTTTTCTCTGACTCTGTATTCTTTACCTCATATAGGGTGTCTACCCGTGCACCCCCCCGGGCAGGTGGGGGGAGGGCACAGAATCAGTGGAAAATGGGTGAAAAAGTACAGCAGGGCCACCGGCTGCACTGGATGTTGATGAAAGTGAACCCACGATTCACAGGTGGAGACTGGAGGGAGGGAATATGAGAGAATGAGGGAATAGATGGTATTAAGCAAAAGGAAAGAAATGTATGTATCACTGACATATGTTAAGGTAACCCTGCTGTCTACCACCTCTAAAACAACAATCAAGTAATTAGGAAAAAAAAAGTTTAGGAAAAATGGCCACAAGTCTTCAATAAAACTGTGGCTCACTGAGACAGAGACAGGACTAAACCAGTACAAAGAAGAGAGCGCGTGTGACTGTCAAAGTGAAAGTCGGCAGGTTACCTGCTTGGCCTGGCTGGCAGCCACGGGGGCTAGCACTGGGTGAGGAGCTTTAGCTGCGGAGCACGGCACTGAAGAACTGAAAAACACAAAGCATGGGCTCACAAGGAGGCAGACTGGAGAAGAGCACACACATCCCCAAGCCTGCTTTTGGTGCCGCACACAATACCAGCGGGGAGCACAAGACAGACTTCTGGGGCTCCCCCTAAATGCATTAGACATTTTGTGGAAGACTAGTTTTTAGACAACATTTGGGTTTTTACCATAAAATTCAAAGCAGCAACCTTAAGACACATGTCCTGTTTAGAAGTGGATCTTTCGCCAAACTGAAGAAAGACTTCCCACTTCCTATCCCCTCCCCACTCTGGATCATGTGGACTTCTGATACTTTTTTCCAAACCTAAAAAACAGCATGGATGCAATAAATGACCTGCTGCCACAAGCAGCCCAAAGGTGTTATACCCAAAGAGATCAGCGCTTCTAGAAGCGGCTATCCCCAAGAGCCCTGGCTCCCAGGTCAGAACATGCAGTTTGCTTCCAAGCTGACCCTGTGCTGCCGTACCCAAAGCGCACTCCTACTCAGAGATCTTCAGCTCACCTGAGCACCATATGGGGGGAGCTGTTACTTTATTATTTGCAGTAAGAGGTAGAGATCACCTTTTGTTTTTCAGAGCTCTTTCCAGACTTAAGGAGGATTATTAAATTCTCCATCAAACCAGGTTCCGATGGCCTGTGCCTGTGATCCTAGCTACTCAGGAGGCTGAGATCTGAAGATCACAGTTCAAAGCCAGCCTGGGCAGACAAATCTTCAAGATTCTTCAATTAACCAGTAAAGAGCCAAAAGTGGAACTATGGCTCAAGTGGTAGAATGTCAGCCTTGAGTGAATTGGAACTGTTGCATGCGTACACACACACACACACACACACACACACACACACACACACACACACACACACACACTTTCAATCAAAAAGTTAACTTGGATGAGGAGAAACAAAGGGGTCCATGTCACATCGAAGTCCATTAAAATGTCTTGATTCTCACAAGCACATGTGATTCTCTTCTGGGATAACACAGGACCCTTCCAAATAGACCTTATTAGACTAAGACAACAACAAAACAAACAAAAAGGGACTTATTTCTAATAAAACGACTGCTGCGCTCCATGAGAGCTGCAGGAGTAATAACTGCGCATGCCTCTGGAGGAGAGCTCCTGTGTCCCGCCGGCATGTATCGGCAGGTGGCAGGAATGGCAGGTACAACGACCGACCCATGACCGCCCTCTGCTCGGCTCGGTCTCCGAGGAGAGAAGGAATGTGCAAAAGCAGACTGCTGGGATCCGAGCAATCCCTGGGCAGACACAGATTTGCTGAGAGAAACAGTCTGAGCTGGCAAGAATCACAAGGGAAATGAAGCTCTTATGCTCTCTCAAAGACAAAAAAAAAACTAGAAATAAGGATAAGCTAGCAATTTACCCCCATCTTGGGAAGCTTCTCATACCTGAAATTTAGTTACAACGTGATTTAAGTAAAATCATGCAAGCACTAATTGAGCATAATTACTGTTCTATTGACTTGTGATGGTGCTGTGTATCTATCTCCTGGGTATCCTGAATCCCAAACACACAAAGCAAAGATTCACAGTACCAACACTCCATCCCAGGGGGCAGCGTTCAGGGCAGGGCTGTTCAGCACAACCAGCCAGTAAGCCAGCTGATAAACCAGGCTCAAGAAACACCCAGCACAACACAAAAGGCAAAACAGAAAAGAACAAGGAGACGTGCCCCAGGCATGCATAATAAGCGGCAGTCACTGGCTACAGTGTCCATGAGAGGGAAAGCCAAAGTCAGAGTTAGCACAGCAGGAGCAGCTTTAGTCTGACCTGAAAGATAGCACAAGAACATTTGCATACTCGGTTCTACAACATAAAACAGGTACTAGAGGAGCATAAGCAGAAAATGACACAATTCAAAAACTGGAGTCGCCAGAGCCGGTGTGGTGGCTCACGACTAAAAGCCTAGCTACTTTCAGGACTGAAGGCCAGGCGAGAAAAGTTTGTCTCATCTCATCTCAACAGAGAAGGCTGGATGTGGTGGCAAATATCTGTCATATCATCTAGAAAGCAAATAAGAGGATTGCTCTCAAGGCTGCCCTGGGAAAAAAAGAAAGACTTGATCTCAGTATAAATAACCAAAGCCAAGACAGGACTTGAGATGGGGCTCAAGTGGCAGATCATCTGCTTGACTGGCACGAGTCCCTGAAATCAAAATCCTCCTACCAACTTACAGCCACTCCCCTGAGCTGTTAGACTGGAAGCACAGTGAAGGCTTCCTCCATGGTCCCATTGGTATGCATGAACTTGACTCCACTGTCATGAATAGGGTCTGTCATCTATTTCCACGTGGTAAAGGAAGGAAGGACTTAAATGACAGAGGCCCAGTCAGGTTTTATTACCACACATGTTTTAACATGGCAGGTCAGACCTGAAGTGCACATGTCACTACATTCAAATCATCCCACGAATAGTGGGTATTTGGCATTAACTAGAAGGAAAGAGGACTATCTACTAAGAGTAAAGAAAAGGAAAACCCAAGCAGGGGGAAAAGACACATAGGCATAGGGAATATTATTTCTATTGGTAGAAAATGAGAACAGTTCACTCTGGGGAGTCCATCAATGGAGCCATTTCTGCCTGCTATTGTCCCCTGCTGGTGAATTTAGTGTCTTTGAAGACTCAAGCTTTTTCCAAAGTTGGTTCACCCTGTGGTTTCTACACGAACGTCTAGATACAGTACTTGAACAATGTACGGTAGACATTGAATTTCATGCAGAAATACAACATGCAGCAGCACAAAGTAAGACTCTCCTTGTTCTTCAGTAGTGTAATATCACCTGAAGACAGACTAGGTTAAAGATGTATATGACAAGTGCAATTAGCAAGATGGTTAGTAAGTCAACAAAAAGAGGTGCTGGTAGCTCACACTTGTAATCCTAGCTACTCAGGAGGCTGAGATCTGAGGATCACGGTTCAAAGCCAGCCTGGGCAGGAAAGTCCAATAAACCACTAGAAAACTGGAAGTGGTGCTGTGGTTCAAGCAGTAGAGTGCTCACCTTGAGCTGAAGAGCGCAGGACAGCACCCAAGCCGAGAGTTCAGGCCCCATGACCGACCAAAAAAAAGGTACAAAAAAATGTGGCAGAGCTAGCCTTAAGTGAAAGGGCTCAGGGACAGTGTTCAGGCCCTGAGTTCAAGTCCCACTACTAACCACCCCCCCCCCCCCAAAAAAAGAAAAAAAAAGCCGGGCGCTGGTGGCTCATGCCTGTAATCCTAGCTACTCAGGAGGCTGAGATCTGAGGATCACGGTTCAAAGCCAGCCCGGGCAGGAGAGACCGTGAGACTCCTATCTCCAATAAACCACCAGAAAACCGGAAGTGGCGCTGTAGCTCAAGTGGTAGAGCGCTCGCCTTGAGCTGAAGAGCTGAGGGACAGCGCCCAGGCCCAGAGTTCAAGCCCCACGACCGATTAAAAAAAAAAAAAAAAAAAAAAAAAGGAAGAGGCTGGGTGTGGTGAAACATTCCTATAATCCCAGTTACAGGAGAGAGAGAGAGAAATGGGAGGATCATCACCATTTGAGGATAGCCCAAGCAAAACTCAGCAAGACCTTCGGTGGAAAAACCAAACTAAACCAAACTAACTAAAAGCAAAAAGACTGGGGGTGGATCACCTACTTAGCAAATGCAAGGCCTTGATTCAATCCCCAATACAACAATAAAAGCAATCTGGAAAAACAGAACAGGAACACAAAGAGAGAAAAAACAGCGATGTGTAGATATAAACCTCAACATGTTTATACACCAGACTTAAATGGCCTAAGCAGCCAGTGAAACATCACAGACTGTCAGACAGAATTACAAAAAAGTAAGGACCAACTATTTGCTTCAAGAAGAGCATTTTAAGGCTACTGCCTGGGGCTTGAACTCAGGGCCGGGGCACTGTCCCCTGAGTCTTTTGCTCATAGCTCATGCTCTACTTACTTGAGCTACAGGTTTACTTCAGTTTTTTGTTTTTTATTTGGGGGGGGAGTGGGTGGTTAATTGGGGGTAAGAATCTCATGGACTTTCCTAACTAAGCTGGTTTTGAACTGTGATCCTCAGATCTCAGCCTTCAGTAGCTAGGATTACAGGTTTGAGCCACCTAAGGTTACTTTTAATGGTTAAATACATATATTAAAAATGACCATCTGGGCTGGGAAGGTGGCTCAGTGGTAGAGCACTTGCCTTGCATGCATGAGGCCCTGGGTTCGATTCCTCAGCACCACATAAGCAAAAAGAAAAAAGCCAGAAGTGGCGCTGTGGCTCAAGTAGTAGAGCGCTAGCCTTGAGCTGAAGAGCTGAGGGACAGCGCCCAGGCCCAGAGTTCACGCCCCACAACCAGACCCAAAAAAAAAAAAAAAAGACCATGTAGGGGCTGGGAAGGTAGCTTAGTAGAGTACTTGCCTACCATCTATGAGGCCCTGGGTTCAATTCTCAGTACCACATAAACAAAAAATAATAAAAAATTTTAGATTTTTAAAAAATCTGAAAGTTAACTGTTTAAATGTATAGTTAAAATAGCATTAATTTAAAAAATCAGCAAAGGACCCAACTAGACATTTGTCCAACCATGAATGAAATGGCCCCTAGGTACACAAAAAGATAGGGTCCTGAGGCACGAGGGCAGTGGAAATCACAACCACCACACGAGTGTGAACAGAGTGGGGAGCAACTGTTGCTGGGACAGTGCAAACTGGAATGCAGCCACTGGAAAAGTCCGAACTAAGCTCAGTATGGAATGAAATTCCACTCACAAATATATACTCCAAAGGACAAGGACAGCTATTCACAGCAGACGGTGTCCACCGCTGTGCCCCTGCGCTTCCTCTGCCCCGGCCACCTGTGCTGAGAGCTTTCTTCTCTCAGTTGTTCAAGAGAGCTGCACGTTGGCTGTTTTGTTTTCATTCAAATGCCGCCTTCCTGGCCACTCTACTTACAATTGTCACCTGCACCCAACACCGGCTCCTAACCCTTCCCCTGCATTGCCTTCCTCCATTCCACCTATCAGCACCCAAGGCTTTATGTGTATTACTTCTTTTGCTGGTTGTTTGTCTCTCCAAGACCAGAGCATTGCCTTTCCATCTATTTTCTTACTGCTTTATCTCAAGCACTTATAGAGCAAAAAATCATGAAAGATCCGGGTGTTGGTGGTTCATGCCTGCAGTCCTACCAACTCAGGAAGCTGAAATCCGAGGATCGTGGTTCAAAACCAGCCTGGGGGCTCAGAATGTGGCTTAATGGTAGAGTGCCTAGCATGCATGAAGCCTTGGGTTTGATTCCCCAGTACCACATAAACAGAAAAAGCCAGAAGTGTAGCTGTGGCTCAAGTGGTACAGTGCTAGCCTTGAGCAAAAGAGCTTTGGGACAGTGCCCAGGCCCTGAGTTCAAAGCCAAAGGTTCTGAAAACAACCATCTGTCTGGTGTACTTTGGCCCATTCTCAGTGGTGGCTTGTACACACTCTGCAACCCTGGCTAGCACTCTGGGTATTCACTCTTCCCACTACTGAAACTCCAACTCCTTTCCAGCTCCCTCTAGACAGCAGCCTTGAGTGACTGCCAGGTCTCTGCTTTTCTAGCCCTCCTGCTCCATTAACCTGCAACGAAGCAAGTGGGAATGGGGCAGTTTCAGGGCTGTGTCTCTGCTGGGCTCTCAGTGCTGTGGGAGCAGGACCAGGCCTGGCCTCTCACTGCCCTCTCCCTAATCCCCATCACAGATGTCCAGTGAGCGGGAATCTGCTAAGCAGGAGACAGCGCGACAGAGCTCATGACAGACCCAGGAGCCAGGGTCTGCCCCAGATCCTCGCATGCGTAAAACAGGGCAGCCAGTCACTAACAGGACGGTGATGTTAGTGAGCATACTCCTGTGACACAAACATGGAAGTCTGTCCTGCAGTGTCCCTAAGACACACTCAGAAAAGGCTAAACACAATGCTCAATACAAAATGCAATGCACTTAGAAAACAAGTCCTTCAAGGAATCTGAATCTGGAAAATACAATTTTTACTTGTCCAGTACATTTAGAGTATTGAGCAAATGATTCTCTAAAAGGAACTATGTCTCAGGCACCAAGCTGGGTGAAGAGAAAGTAACTGGGGCTGGGAAGGTGGCTCAGTGGTAGAGCGCTTGCCTTGCATGCTTAAGGCCCTGGGTTTGATTCCTTAGCACCACATAAGCAAAAAGAAAAAAGCCAGAAGTAGTGCTGTGGCTCAAGTGGTAGAGCACTAGTCTTGAGCTAAAGAGCTGAGGGACAGCACCTAGGCCAAGAGTTCAGGGACCATGACTGGACCCCCTTTCCCCCCCAAAAAAAGAAAGTGACTTCAGGATTCTCCTTCAATCTTGATCTACTCTACTTCTCTTTTTAGAAAAAGAGCCAACAATGGTGCTGCTAGAACAACGCTGTTATCAGAGACCAGGCCGGATACACCAGGAAAGACCAAGCCTAAGCAGCGGTCGAGAAGTGCAGAGGTAGCCGCAGCCTGGGCACTGCTGAAATGGCGGAGGTGCGGCCCAGGCCAAGTGTCTACATAGTACTCCACAGCTCCAAGGTCATCCTGTGATAGGAAAGATGGCAAGCTTGTTTTTGGCTGCTAGTATGGCCCTGAGACAACCCAACTATTTTCTACAACAGGCAGTGCTGGTAAGTGGATGATAATGGAAAGAGGAGCAGGGAAGTAGAGCTACCCCACAGAGCACAGAAGGGCAGCTGGTGTGGACAACCGGCATAACCAGCCCCAGGGCCCATGGCTGCTCGTCTTGCCGAACTCTGAGTCCCAGACACAAACTCCCTGCAAGACACTGCTTGATCCACAAACCAGGAAAAGACCCTTGCCCTGCCCCCACTAGGCACAGGGGAGGCTGGTTGTGGCTACAAAATGCTGGTCCCTTACCTCCTGAGCCCTATTGTAGACTAAAGACAGAGAGCTCTAGCAGCAGCGATCCTGTTCTCTAAGGCATGGAAGAGAGAGGGAGGGTCTGCAAACACAGCTGCTAGCTTCTAGAACACTCTTTCTTTGTATAATGACTGGAAAGTGGAGGTGACTATTTTTTTTTTTTTTTGGGGTCCGGTCATGGGGCCTGAACTCTGGGCCTGGGCGCTGTCCCTCAGCTCTTCAGCTCAAGGCTAGCACTCTACCATTTGAGCTACAGCACCACTTCCGGCTTTTTTCTTATGTGGTGCTGAGGAATCGAACCCAGGGCCTCGGGCATGCAAGGCAAGTGCTCTACCACTGAGCCACCTTCCCAGCCCCAAAATTCTTATTTTCTTGTTTTTGGGTTCAGTCGTGGTGCCTGAACTCTGGGCCTGGGCACTGTCCCTCAGCTCTTCAGCTCAAGGCTAACACTCTACCACTTGAGCCACAGCGCCACTTCCGGCTTTTTTTTCCTTTTTTTTTGCTTATGTGGTGCTGAGGAATCGAACCCAGGGCCTCACACATGCAAGGCAAGCGCTCTACCGCTGAGCCACCTTCCCAGCCCTATTCTTTTTTTTTAAATTACTAAAACTTTAAAATTTATTACGTGTGTGAGCACCAAAAGCACTTAAGATCTTTGGAAGATAAAATATAATAAAACTTAGTGGATCATAAAAAAATAGATGAGAAAATGTGATTGGAAAAATAGAAACCAAGCAAGGGTCATTTATCACCGCCAACAAATCTCTACTAAATAGTCCTACAATGTTGTACTTTGTAGTTAATCCTTAAGAGAGTGTAAAGTCAAACTGCTTCCTGATTTCCTGTCTAACTGAATAAAGAACATTAAAAATGATGGAGTTTGTCAAAACTGAATGTCTCAAAGCGTGTTGCAATTCAGTGCAAAAAAATATTTATTGAGAGGCTGGGAAGGTGGCTCAGTGGTAGAGCGCTTGCCTTGCATGCATGAGGTCATGTTCCATTCCTCAGCACCACATAAGCAAAAAGAAGAAAGCTAGAAGTGGTGCTGTGGCTCAAGTGGTAACGAGTGCTAGCCTTGAGCTGAAGAGCTGAGGGACAGCGCCCAGGCCAAGTTCAAGCCCCACAACCGCCCCCCCCCCACCCAAAAAAAAGAATATTTATTGAGCCAGGCACTGGTGGCTCACACCTGTAATCCTAACTGACTCAGGGGGATGAGATTTAAGGATTGAGACTTGAAACCAGCCCAGCCAAGAATGTCTGGGAGACTCTTATGTTTAACTAACCACCACAAAATGTGGAAGTGGAGATGTGGCTCAAGTGATACAGCACCAGCCTTGAGTGAAAGAGCTACAGGACAATCCCCAGGCCATGAGTTCAAACCCCAGTACTGGCACACATGTACAAGAAAGATACTACTGAGAACCTTTCAATAAGACATACTGTTCAGATGGTGTACGATAAATGACTAGAATGCTCTCTGCTTTTAGGGAACCCACACGCTAGTTAGACATTGTGTACATTGGTAAAGGCGTGAGAGTTCAGATCGATGAGGAGAACCTAGGCTAGACTTGAGTTTCCACTTATCCTTAGCAAGCTGTCCACACAGACTGAACAAGGTATGTGGTTCTACATGGCAGCCTTAGCCATAACTACAACAATCAATATGACGAAAACGTAATTGTAAATGTGAACATCAAGTCCTGAGGGTAGTGAAACAGGTTCTGTCTGGACGTGGCCTTGGAGGCTCAAGGTGGCTGTTAGGACAATTATAGGGAGGGAAGGGGGCCCTCTGCCTGTGGGTGACACAGGCTGGGTCACCTGCCTATCACAATGGCCAAGTGCTGACAGCGCCAATGGCGGTGAAGTCTTGAGATCATCAGAGGATTCAGACTCTTCTGGAAAACTTGAGAACATTAAATAAATAAACAAACTGAACTCCACTCCTGACTTCACACCCTATAGGCTACTAATCTCTGCAGACTTAGACAGGGCAGGGAGGAATCTAAATGGATACCAAGACAGGCTGTAGGCCGATGAGGCAGTGTCTGGTCCTGGCAGGTTGAAAGGACAATGTCCTTTCCTGGCTGAGCCGGCAAAACGCGTCTGTGACAGGCACTGTGCCCTCCCTAGGTGGTCCTCCACTTCACAAACACCCGCTGGCCCCAGCCCAGCGTGCCGCAACATACCCCAGGGCTGTAGACGGGACTGCAGGGGTACTCTTCAACTCCTGCACATTCACCACTTGAGGGACAGTCTTCAAAGTGGATTCAGTCAAAGTGCTCACAGCTGTAGAGAAGAGAGGGCGGCATTAATTCCAGAGAGGATCACCAAGTCTAGCCCTGTAACTAGGATGAGAACTCACGCAGACTTATTACACGAGAAAAAGGGCTCAGCATGTGATGAGTGGAACACCGGGCCACTCCATTGTCCAAGGTCAGGGAGAGAGGCTACACGCAGCTAACCAAGCATAATAGTGCAGAGGCGGGGTTCTGGGCAGCCTTGCCACACGGCACTGGGTACCGCCACATTACTGGTTTATCTCAGGAAAGGCCAGCAGAGCCCAACGGTTAGCAGTTTTGGCTCAGGACCTGTTTCCTTTCTTCCCCGAGAATGCATCACTGTTCTAAAATACAGCTGCTTCCGGGGGAGTTCACAGCTTAGTGAGACAGACAGACTGACTGAGTCAATGAATAAGATGTGGAAAACAGAGGTCAGAGAGGGAGGCAACACAGGAACACCCTGGCCGCCAACTTAGCTACCTAACTTACCCATCAACTTCTACAGCGCTTTGTGTCTCATCTCAAGGATATTCTCCAACTAGCTGGTAAGAAAGTCACATCTCAGCCCAGGTGAACTGCCCACAGCCCAAGTGGTCTGGAGTGTCTGCGCTGACTGTTTCCTTTCTCAGAGGAGTGACCAGAAAATCTTGACTACAACTGTACAGATTCTGCCTTCACATTCAAGATGTCTACACCTTAGAAAGTTGTGCTCTGCTTGGACAATGGAGACCACAGCACCTCCTGCTGGGCAAAACATCCCTAGATCCCATTGCCTGGCTTGGAGCTTGATCAGTACAATGCCAAGATTCTCAGTGGTAAACACACAAAGAGAACAGGAAAAACTATATGTTCTGAGAGCTCAAAGGTGCTTCTGGTGGCTCACATCTATAATCTTAGCTACTCGGGAAGCTGGGATCTGAGCATTGTGGTCCAAAGCCAGCCTAGGGAGGAAAGTCTTAAGAATCTTATCTCTAATTAGCAAAAGACTGAAAATAGAGCTATGGCTTAAGTGGCAGAGCACCAGCCTTGAGTACAAAAACTCAGGACAGCACCCAGGCTTTGAGTTCAAGCCCTAGGACCCACCAAAAACAAACAAAAAAACCCAAAAACTTCAAAACATTATCCTATCTGTCTTTACTTCCCAGTATCTAATAACATATCTCGAGTTTTTTTTTTTTATTTTTTATTTTTTGGGGGGGGGGGGGGTGGTTGTGGGGCTTGAACTCAGGGCCTGGGCACTGTCCCTGAGCTCTTTTGCTCAAGGATAGTGCTCTACCACTTTTAGCGATAGCACCACTTCCAGTTTTTGAGGTTAAATGGAGTCTCATGGGGACTTTTCTGTTCCAGCTGGCTTTGAACTGTGATCCTCAGATCTCATCCTCCTGAATAGCTAGGATTACAGCACGAGCCAAGAGCGCCCGGCTTCTTTTTAGCATTCTTAAAAAGGAAACTATTTGCTTCTCATTGGTTTCTCCACCTTGGCACTATGGACATTTTGGGACTGGATAACCCTTTGTTGTTAACAAAGAACCTTTTTCTTTTTTCTTTTTTTTTTTTTTTTGGTTTTTGGTAGCACTCCTAACCTGTGACCAGTCTTCTGAGGGAGCAGTGGATGGGAGCTGCCACTGGGAACCACTGGCTTGTCCGGCTAATAGCCGATGACAATGGAAGTCCTTGAGGCCAACTACCTGGACTGCAGAATTCTAACCTAGGGGCTGGGAAGGTGGCTCTGTGGTAGAGTGCTTGCCTTGCATGCATGAGGCCCTGGGTTTGAGTCCTTAGCACCACATAAGCAGAAAAAAGCAGGAAGTGGCACTGTGGCTCAAGTAGTAGAGCGCTAGCCTTGAGCTGAAGAGCTCAGGGATAGTGCCCAGGCCCAGAGTTCAGGCCCCACGACCGACAAAAAAAAAAGAAAAAAAAAAAAAAGAATTCTAACCTAGACGACTCTGGATAACCACAAACTTAAAATGTTCATGCGGAGTTGCCTGCTAATACTTCCTTCGCAGAGGCTAAACTGTTAATGTTATGGAAAATCTATTTTGAAAACAGCACAGGGCTGGAGTGAGCTTCTGCTGCTTACTGACTGCAAGCTTCATTTTCTGACTCTGATGCTACTGAAACACAAAATGGACACACTCCTAGGGTGGCTAGGGTCTTTGAGACACTATCTAGGAGATGGTGCTAGTGTAACCACATGGTCTAAATTCAGAAACTGTTAGGAGCCGGGCTCCAGTGGCTCACATCTATAATCCTAGCTAGGCAGAAGGCTGATAGGAACACATTTCAAAGCCAGCCTGGGCAGGGAAGTCTGTGAAACTCTAATCTCCAATTAAACATCAAAAAAGCTGCAAGTGGAGCTGTGATTTAAGTGGTAGAGCACTAGCACTAGCTCAGGGACAGTGCCCAGGCTCTGAATTCAAACCCTAGGACTGGCACACAAAAAAATTAAGAAACTGTTTAGGACTCAAAACAAACACCATTCAAAAGCAGGATCTTACCATCATCATCTAAAAGCTCACTGTCTTCCCACTTAACTGAAGGTGGCAGATCTAACACCTCCCCTCAAAAGGAAAGGAGTTCAAACATAGCTCGTCTCAGAGGGGCTCTTTTCCCATAGGATGAAGGTGGTCACACCACACCCCTCTCCTGAGCCACACAGAAGACAGCCAGTTGTTCCCTGCCACTTGCTGTCCCGGCTGCGACTCGGACGGCTCACAGCCAGTGTGCCACAGGTTGGGGGGCACAGTTTTTACCTGGCGCCTGACTGGCCATCTGGCGTCTCAGGGCTGCAGCGGCGGCCGCCTGGGGGGCAGCGATGGGGTGGGAAGGGCCGGGGGCGCCGTGCTTCACAGTTTTCGTCGCCAGCATCGTGCTGTCTGCCCCCTGAGGAATGATTTTGCTGGTGGATGTAGACACTGAGGGCAAAGGAACATATGTGAGGTGAGACTGGGCTAGGGGGAGGGAGCACAGCAAAGTTAAATGGTCAGGTCTCCATGGTGGCCTAGGGACTATGCTAAAATCATTCTTAAGCTTTCACAGTAAACGGACAGGCTGGCACCTGAAACTGTTATTGACACTGGACACAGTGTGCCTGCTCATCTCCATCCACTATCAGCTGAACACTTGACCCACCCATGTCCTCTGTGACTGACAGGAGATCATTTTCCTATCTGTACCGGGGTTGCTGGATATTCATCATTGTGGATCCAACAAAATTATCAAGACAGGCAGGGCAGCTGTGAGAATACGAGAAGCGCATGTGTCTGTCCTGTCACACACCAGAGGATTTTACTGCAGCTTAGACCAAAGCCCTGATCACCGCTTAGCTTGCACGCAGAGCCCACCAGTGCATTGAGAGCCGGTGCACAGGAAGGCTGCGTCATGAGCAACTCTGAACAGCACTGGAGTTGGTGCTTTTGGGGAGGAATGTACTAAAGGCTGGAGTGAGCTGGATTTGAAAGGCCAGAGTATGGATATTGCTCCACAGTATAGCTGGTGCAGAGCACAATGCCAGGGAAGCTGTTACTCTTCACAGTGGTCTACCTGCATCTTTCAGGGTGGAAATCACTCTTCCACATTCAGATGAAATGAGCTGGAGCATTCCTAGTGTAACTATTTAAGACCCAGAGATCCTTTGGTAGTCCGAAACCTACCAGGGAAGAATGCTTCCTGTCTCTGTTGCTGACTTACTGGAAGTTCCCATGGCGGCAGGGGAGGCGCCATGGGCCAGATGAGACTTGGCAAAAGGAGTCATCTGGGGCAAGAGGCTGGGCTGGATAGAAGGAGTGCGGACCACGGGCGCGTGCCGAGGGACCTGGACCACCGCCTCCTCGTCCTTGCAGAGAACCCGGGCATCTTCGCTCTCCAGAGACTGGGAGATGGAGGAGGTCGAGCTCACTTCATCCAAGTCTTCATAGTATCTCTGAGACAGGAAGGCTGAGCGAGACAGGCTGGCTATAGAAACCCAACAAAGCATAAGTTAGACAACTCATAGGATGTCTAAGAGCTATGTCGTCTTTCCTGGAGCCAATTTAATTATTCCTGGGAGCTGAGCTAGAGACAATAAGAATATCCTAAGTGTCAAAGAGAAGTATATGAAAAAGTAAGATGAGCGCTGACAGCCAGGAGCTCATGCCTGTCATCCCAGCCACTCAGGAGACTGAGACCTGAGGATCATGGTTCGAAGCCAGCCCAGGTAGGAATGTCCGTGAGACCCTTATCTCCAATGAACCACCAAAAAAGCAGAAAGTGGAGCTGTGGCTGAAGTGGTAGATCGCTAGCTTTGTTGTTGTTTTTACCAGTCATGGGGCCTGAACTCTGTCTGGGCCTGGGCACTGTCCTTCATCTCTTCAGCTCAAGGCCAGGGCTCTACCACTCGAGCCATAGCACCACTTCTGGTTTTTTCTGCTTATGTGGTGCTGAAGAATCGAATCCAGCGCCTCATGCATGCAAGGCAAGCGCTCTACCACTGAGCCACTTTCTCAGCCCGAGTGCTAGCTTTGAGCACAAAAGTTCAAGGACATCACTCAGGCCCTGAGTTCAAGCCCTAGGACTGGCCAAAAAAAAAAGAGAGAGAGATGAATTTCCTGCTGCTGGAAAAGTATGGGGGCTGTCAGCTCACTGGTAGAGAAAGAATAGGAGGGAAGCAGCAGGGTGGAGTCACACTGCTGCCGGAGTGTCCCCACAGCGACCCAGCCCCGAGTCCAACAACCCAAGGATTCTTCAGACTCAACTAGGCTTACAAACACACATTTAATCCTAGCCTGTTCTCTTGCTTCGTTTTTTCCCCCTCCTTTAAACTATGAAGTCAGACTTTAGGGCACATTACTTTCTACCTCAGGGAAGGGGGGGCGGGAAGAAAGAAAATACATAACCAAAATTCAGAGGGCAGAGATGTGACTGATATCCAGAGATGTGAGCGAGAGAAGAAAGCCTGTGCGCTGCTGCCTGCAGAGGAGGGGTGAGGGGCGATCACAGAGACAAACGGCCCATCCCACCACCGGAGGGGACTGTGTTCTGCCAAAACTTTAATGATTTGGAGGTGGTATTTTCTCCAGAGCCTTCAGGTGTGAGATCAGCCTGGCTAAAACCTTGATTAGGTAAATCTGTACCAGCCTTCAATCATAATCCTCTGGCTCTCCACCTCCGGGGTCCTGGGGATCACAGGAGTGAGTCTGGATGCCTGATGGCATGGGTCCACCTTTGTACCGTGTGTGGAAGCTCATGAGTCAACCTAGCAGTACGTCAAGAGCTATCCTGCACGTGTGACAAGTACATACGTGTGCTCATTGTGTTCTTACAAGTGGAGGTTTCAGTTTTTCCAAAGTAATAAGTAAAAGACAGGAACAAAAAGGTGAAATAATAACCAGTAAAGGCCTAACTGTCACATGTCTCCTGTGGGGAGAAAAGAGGTGGGAGCAGCAGTGCAGTTTCTAACTCTGGGTCACAGGGTCTCTGGTCATGTATTCTCCACAAAATATGCATTACATTTCATAATTCTAAAAGTAAAAATGTTACACGATGGGAATAGAGCTATGTGTTAAGTGGCAGAATGCTAACCTTGAGCAAAAAAGCTACGTGACAGAGAGCATGAGGCCCAGTACCGGTACCTTGCACGTGCATACACACATGTGTGTGCAACACACACACACTCAAGCATACACACATGAGAAAAGCAAGCTGTAGAGGTATCAGTTGTAGGAAAAAAGCCACAATTTCATTAAGAAAACCAACGGTGAATGCACAATCTACCATTTACTACAGGCAGCCACAGGGACCTGGGACCAGCTCAAGGTGACCCTGCTGCTACCCTGAGGCCTTCTCCAGAATGCAGCAGGTCCATCCTGTGCAGCTGAGGCCCTGTATGCCACCAAAAGTTGACCCCCTGACCTCAGGGGGCTCTCTGAGCGGTGCATGAGCAGTGGAGGCTGTCCTAGTTGGGCAGATCCCTCTTGCATGTGAAGGAAAAGGAAGTCCACACTGTGGCAGGGCCTGCACTCCCAGATCTGGGGATGCACCCAGCGCACACTGCCCTAACAGAAAGCTTATTCCGATCACAGTGATGTGGCTCTGACACTTGCAGCTGAGACATAAATGGTGAGTTCTGTGCTAAGGACAAGCCATTCAAGTCCTCTCCTACCTATCACAGAAAAGCAGCTGTGAACACAAAAGCAGAGCAAGCGTGAGGCTCTGAGTACTAGCACAAAAAAGGTAAAGCCTTGTTTTTCTCCAATACAGTACAACACAAAACAATGCAGCACAGGAGTGTAAAGAGGAGGCTAGGACGCAGCTTGGCCTGTGGGAAAGGCTGCTCATTACTGCTGGCTTTGTGGGTGGGGCCAGCCGAGAGCAGGGCAGAGCTCCAACAGCTATTGTGCGTTGCTTGCCACAGAAAATGATGCCGCCACTTGCTGCAGTATCTCCAAGGAGACCAAATGGTGATCCCCTATCATACCCAGAACCACACCCCCAACACCACGTCCTTCATGGTTCTAACTAAAAATGTTACCTGGAGCTGTGGACCTCACGGGTGGGGTCTTCCTCTTGGCCAAGAAGTTTCTCAACTGGGCCTGTTTCACTGGGGACAGTTTAGCTGAAAGAAATTCATGAATCCATAAATGCTTATGGCTCAGCATTTTTTTTTTTTTGGGTCCGGTCGTGGGGCCTGAACTCTGGGCCTGGGCGCTGTCCCTCAGCTCTTCAGCTCAAGGCTAGCGCTCTACCACTTGAGCCACAGCACCACTTCAGGTTTTTGAGTGGTTAATTGGAGATGAGTGTCTTACAAGGAATTTTCAGCACGAGCTGGCTGCAAGCCATGATCCTCAGATCTCAGCCTCCTGAGTAGCCAGGATTACAGGCGTGAGCCACCAGTGCCCCATTCAGCTTTTAAGATGTGAGTAGCTGAATGAGAATGTGCATCCAGGAGAGGGGAAGATGCGTTTACCTGGTACTCTGGGCCAAGGCTTGGAGTGAGATTCGAGGGTGGTTTTTAGCAAAGCGTTGCGCAGGCTTTCCAGATCACTGTCAAAACTGAGACAGAACAGCATTACACATCAACCCACTATAGGCCGAGAAACCTGAGGCTACGTGGGGTACATGACCCTCCTACATTTAAGTGCAAGCGACAAGGGCACATTCAATATTTAAACATGCCATCTGATCAACTGGTGTAAATGGAGAGGTGGACAGCTCAGTACTGTACACCACTCCACACTAGTGGACAGGGACTGAAACCCACTCAGAGCCGGGGGAACACGAAGCCACTTTGGTGACCTCAAGGGCAAACAGTCTAACTACAAAGACCTGAAACTCCCTCCCACAAGCAGAATGGCAAATGTGAGCCTCTCAGACAAAGCAGTCCACTAACCCTGGTAGCAAACTGGCAATATAACAACACTATTGCTATAGTAACCACTGTGGCCTATTGAGCACTGTGTCATCAGGCTCACTGCTTAGGTGGATTCTACACCTAACTCCTCAGTGAGCCATCCAAGAAAGCAAGGTGCAGAGGGATGAAGGACCTGACCACCCAGCTTCGTCAGAGGTCACTTTCAAGCCTGCATGTGGAACCATACCAAGTCTACCGCAGGCTGCTCCCAGGTCTTTACTCATGTGTTTCCCCTATCAGGTGGATTGCTCTGCTCCAAGCCCTGCACACCTGTCAGTGGTGCTCTGCGTGGGAAGGGCGGAGGGCAGGCTCCAGGAGGATGTCTGTTTATAAAGGCGGAGCTGCTGGAGGCTGTCCACCAGGTGATTCAGCCGCTTTCTCTGTTGGTTGATAATTTCCCGATTGTTGGCCAGCGTGTTGAACAGTGTCTCTCGCTCTGGCACGAGCAGGCGCCTGCTGGCAGAATTACACATGAACAACTCAAGTAAAGAAACCCACTAGACTCCCCAATAGGATTACAATTTTAACAGTGAAAAACACCGCTAGAAAAGAAATGTCCAGGGCTGGGAAGGTGCTCAATGGGAGAGTGGTTGCCTTGCATGCATGAGGCCCTAGGTTCAACTCCTTAGCACCACATAAGCAGAAAAAGCTGGAAGTGGCGTTGTGGCTCAAGTGGTAGAGCACTAGCCTTGAGCTGAAGAGCTGAGGGACAGTGCCCAGGCCCAGAGTTCAAGCCCCACGACTGACAAAGAAAAGAAAAAAGAAAAAAAGAAAGAAAGAAAAGAAATGGCCAGAAGGTATTAGAAAGCAGAAGAGGGATGGAAGGCCAATGGAGAGAGGCATGGGGAAAAGAGCTTAGGCTACTCAGGCTGCACCTGTAGCAGAGAACAGCCTGTCTTTTTTTTTGAGATTAACTGGAAAAGCTCAAGTGAGAGCTCAAGGCCCCAAGTTCAAGCACCAGTATTAGCACATTAAAAAAAAAGAAAGAAAAAAACAGAAAACAGCACACATTTGAGGATGTGAACTACAGAAAGGGAGATGAGAGCCTCTGGAGAAACCACAAAGGAAAAGGGAGCTGGCTACCCTAGCCTTGTGCACTTTGGTGCAAGCCTATTGCTAACAAGCAGGGCAGAATGCCCCCACAACCAGCTGAGGCCACATTGTTGGGCGGGGAGGGAGGCAGGAGGACAACACACACCAATGAACAGGAATACCAACTAGCACTGTGGGCTGGGACATCTCCAATGGGGTCCAAGTGGGAGGACAAGAGTGGGGGAGAGCTCACCCTAACTCCGTACCTCTGCTCCCCTGAGAGGCTCTTTGGTGTTTTCCTCATTTCATCACTTCTGCCGATTAGGATATAAGTACATTCTAGTTCTGCCCCATGATCTCACAGCCTTGTAAATAAGCAAAAAGACCAGATAGCAGGGGCTGAGCTCGAGTGGCTCACGCCTATAACCTAAGCTACTCATGAGGCTGAGAGCTGAGCATGGTTCAAAGCCAGCCTGGGCAGGAAAACCTATGAGACTCTTATCTCCACTAAACTACCAAAAAGCCAGAGTGGAGCTGGGCTCAAGTGGTAGAGTGCTAGCCTTGAGCAAAAGAAGCTCAGGGACATGGCCTAGGACCTGAGTTAAAGACCCAGTTCCGCAATAAACCAACAAAAAAGGTTAAAAGGGTGTGTGTCTCAAGTGATAAAGCACCTGCCTAGCAAGAAGCAGAAAAGAAAAAAAAAAAGACAATTTGGAATATTCAGACAAGTAGGAAATCTGAATATATCAATAAATGGATATGCAGTAATACTTCCAGATTCTTTCATGTCCCACGTCCGCGTCTCCACATTGGGATCACCCTAAATACCTTTTTATCATCTTATAGTATTTGATATGCTATGTCTAATAATGAGTGATGTAATTATAGTTTCTGTATTTTATGTAACCTGAAAGCATTTCCTGCAAATCCCTGCCCTGCAGGTAAGGAGATTGGGTGTTTACGCCATGGGAAACGGTGGGGCACTGTGGATCTCTTTCCGCAGGCGTGGGGAGTGAGAGCTATGACAGAGGCCATGCTGCTGGGTCTCTCTAGCAGCTCCTGACACAGTAACAGCTCTGCCACACCGTGTGGGAGATGAGAAACCGTGCTCACTTTTGTTTTCTTTTTTGTTCCAGATGCCGATCCCACTCCAAGTCTAGAACATCATTCACATCCTGGACCGCAAATTTTACGTATTGATGAAGGCGCCGAATTTCCTACAAGAAAAAAAAATTAGGTAACACATCTTTCTAGTAGTGGCTTGAGGGAAGATGTATCAAAACAGTCAAAATAATTTTATGGTATTTCTATAGTGAGAACAGTTATAACAAGGAGAACATAACAGGTCTCAATACAGTCATTAAGACCTTATTATAAGCTACACACTGGTAGCTCCCATCTGTAATCCTTAGCTACTCAGGAGGCTGAGATCTGAAGATCACAGCCCAAAGCCAGCATGGGGCTGGAAAATCCATGAGACTCTTTTATCTCCAATGAAACACCAAAGAACAGGAAGTGGAGGTGGGGCTCAAGTGGTAGAGCACTGGCTTTGAGCAAAAAAAAGCTAAGGGACAGCGCCCAGACCCTGAATTTAAGACCTAGCACCAGCACAAAAAAAAAACAAAAGAACATTAAGTTGAAAAGTGTGTCATTGTCTTTGCTACTGGTAAGGAATTTTATGAAGCGTGTGATATATCATTAGTAGAAAATCAACAGCCCAGGCTGGGAAGGTGGCTCAGTGGTAGAGCGCTTGCCTTGCATGCCTGAGGCCCTGGGTTCGATTCCTCAGCACCACATAAGCAAAAAGAAAAAAGCCGGAAGTGGCGCTGTGGCTCAAGTGGTAGAGCGCTAGCCTTGAGCTGAAGAGCTGAGGGACATCACCCAGGCCAAGAGTACAGGCCTCACGACTGGACCCCCCCCCCCAAAAAAAAAGAGAGAAAGAAAATCAACAGCTCTCTAAGGGGCTATCATCCAACTCTACACCTTAAGAAAGACATGGAAAGGACTGGGGGTGTGGCTCTGTGGCACACTGCACTTGACTGACAAGCGAGAGGCTGAACAAACGGAAGGCCAGCAGAGGGTGCTGTGTCACTCGTCCTACCTGGAGCTGAGCCTCACTCTTGGGATCCAGAGGCCTTTTGTAGAGGAGGTGGAGATACCCAGAGTCGTGATTTCGTCCATTCTGTTCTCTGGCTTCTTCCACACCAGCAAATCCTTCCAGCAAAGTTGTCTTCAATGTACTTATGTCTCCATGGAGAGACTAGAAAGGAGATCCGGATGGGTGGACACAGAAGCTGACTTTTCAAATAAAACCTCTCTGTGTACATTAAGAAAGGAGTTTCTTTTTCTTTCTTTTTTTTTTTTTTTTTTTTGCCGGTCATGGTGCCACTTCCAGCTTTTTCTGCTTATGTGGTGCTGAGGAATCGAACTTAGGGCCTCATGCATGCAAGGCAAGCGCTCTACCACTGAGCCACTTTCCCAGCCCAGAAAGGAGTTTCTTAAATATTTAACCTGATGAAACCTCTGAGAAGAGAAAGAAGTCATTCCTTGGAAAGAAAGGTGCTCAGGCATTTATTAAAAATGTTTTTTGTGTGTGATTAGGGAAAAAAAAAAATCACAGAAGTGATTTTGGACACTTAAGTAAGACCAGGCCTCAAAGTACCTATAACCCCATTCCCTGAAGACAATCATTGCTCACGCCTGAGACCTTTCTTTTCCTAAGCATTATTATTTAGGTCCAGAATAGTCCAAAATGGGATCCTGGCATATCAATGCTAAATAGGGCTTTTCAGAAAATGCTTTTACTGGGGCTGGGAAGATGGCTTAGTGGTAGAATGTGTGCCTAGCATGCATGAAGCCCTGGGTTCTATTCCACAGTACCACATAAACAGAAAAAGCTGGAAGTGGAACTGTGGCTCAAATGGTAGAGTGCTGCTAGCCTTGAGAAAAGCAGCTCAGGGACAGTGTCCAGGCCCTGAGTTCAGGTTCCAGGACTGCCAAAAAAAAAAAAAAAATAGTTTTTACCTTTCTAAACCTCCTTCTAATGGCATGAAAAATGAGGAAGGAAAAGTATACTGTATACAACAAAGATGTGAGGATAATCCAGGTGAAAGCGTAGTAAGTACTAAGTAGAAACAGCAGTTACAGTAAATGAATACTTGATATTTTTATATTGCATATGCTTTTTTTTTAAATCTGACACTATGAAACAAAACTTCAAATATACCTAAAGGGCCAATTCAATTATTCATGCCTATAATTCTACTTGATTGAGAGGTTGAGATCTGGAAGATCATAGTTCAAAGCTAGTCTGGGGAAAAAAGTTCAAGAGACTCCATCTTCAATTAATCAACCAGCAAAAAGCAGATGTAGAGGCCTGGCTCAAATTGTAACATACCAACTTGTGAACAAATAAGCCAGCTAAGAGCATGAGGTTCCAAGTTCAAATCCCAGTATAGCGCCCCCCCCCCCAAAAAAAAAGTTACATTAAATGAAAGATGGTAAACTTTTATGGAATCCTAAATATATTAAAGGAGTGGAGATCATTACTCTACTTCACACATGAGGAAACTGAAACAGAGCAGTAGGCTGACTCCTAGAGGAGTATCTGATTTGTCATTAACCCTGAAGGAACAGCTGAATCCAGGCACTCTCCGGTCAACTACTCAGCACACAACCACAGCAGCATGGGCCACAGGAAGACCAACAGCCTTGGAATAACAGGAGAACAATTCTATTTTTTTGGTCAGTTGTGGGGCTTGAACTCTGGACCTGGGCACTGTCCCTCAGCTCTTCAGCTCAAGGCTAGCGCTCTATCACTTGAGCCACAGCATCACTTCCAGTTTTCTGTGGTTTATTGGAGAGAAGAGTCTCACAGACATTCCTGCCTGGGCTGGCTTTGAACTCTGATCTTCAGATCTCTGCCTCCTTAGTAATTAGGACAGGCGTGAGCCACCGGCGCCTAGCTGGAGAACAATTCTAAAAGTACAGTTCTACCTAGGACCAAAGACCCACAAAGACAAACCTCTGTGGTTTCCTTAATCTCCAGCAGGAAGGTGTGCAGGTCATCTGACTCTGTCCGCAGCAGCTTCATCTCCTCCACAGTGCCCACCTGGAAACAGGCTTTGGAAGTCCGGGCCTTCAACTCTTCTAGCTCCTTCTGGAAGTGGGCGATCTGCAGGAGCCAATAAGGAAATGACTCTATCTGAGTGCACAACTCCTGGAGCGGGCCAGGTCCCAGTGTGGAATCCGTACCCATGGATGGCGGCACTCATGGCCAGTCTAGACACCCTCAGAAACAATTTACCTCCTCTCCGATTCCAGCCATCACAGGATCTGACTCTTTCCACTGATGTCCTTGCTTTTCTGTGACAGGAGGCTGAAGGGACTTCACCTGAAATGGAAGGTAAGTGTTTACAACTCGATCCTGTACCACAAGTTATGGCTAGAGGCCATCACATGAGTATCTATCACCATGAGTAGTGTTCTCATAAGAGCCCTTCATTTGTCACTCAGGCTGAGTTTACCAGGTCTGCTGTGCATAAAATATTCCACACAGTGAAGAAAGGTACAGGACAGACATGTCCCAGTGCTCGGGGATGTACTGATACATCACACTAAACAAAACAGCCAGCCATTAAGACATGTTGGACGGACACCGGTGGCTCACACCTGTAATCCTAGCTACTCAGAAGGCTAAGATCTGAGGATCACAGTTTGAAGCCAGCCCGTAGAAAAGCTTGTGAGACTTATCTCCAACTAACTACCAAAATAGCTGGAAGTAGAACTGTGGCTCAAGTGAAAGAACACCAGCCTTGAGCAAAAAAGCTCAGGGACAGCACCCAGGACCTGAGTTTAATTCCCAGAACCGGCACCAAAAACACACAAACAAAAAAACATGCCAGGTGCTGGGAATGTGGCTTAGTGGTAGATTGCCTGCCTAGCATGCACAATGCCTTGGGTTTGATTCCTCAATAGCTTGAGCAAAAGAAGCTCAGGGGCAGTGCCCGCCCCTGAGTTCAAGCTTCAAGACTGGCAAAAAAAAAACCCTAAAAAACAAAGAAAAACAAAAAACATGCTACAGGATCCCACTTGATAGAAGGTACAAGCAGGCTAACCTAAAGCATGCTGTTAGATATCAGGATGGCGGGTGACTTTGGAGAAAGCAGAGGAGGAACTGTGGGTGCTGATCATTCTTTTTTTTTTTTTGTCGGTTGTGGGGCTTGAACTCTGGGCTTGGGTACCATCCCTGCGCTCTTCAGCTCAAGGCAAGTGCTCTACTACTAGTGGTTTATTGGAGATAAGAGTCTCATGGACTTTCCTGCCTGGGCTGGCTTTGAATCGCGATCCTTAGATCTTAGCCTCCTGAGTAGGTAGGATTACAAGTGTGAGCCACTGGCACCTGGCTACGTTGCTGATCATTCTGTTCCTCAGTGGTAGTCGCAAGCTTTGTTCAGTTGGTGACAAGCCACTGAGGTGTATATATATTACACGCATGCTTTCTATGGAAACCGTATGTTGATGAAAATAGGAAACAGAAAAAAAAAAAAGAAAATAGGAAACATATGACTTGGTTGTATGCGGACATTACAAATAGTCAAGTCACATATGCTGGCATTTTCTGCCACACAGTCCTAACCGTCAGTTCCAAGGTCTGAATTCTAACACTTTATTAACACAGGTGCTTGAGGCTGACTAGTCAATCAATAGACAAGAGCATTTTCCGCAAGGAAAGCATACCTGGGGAGAGCTTGCCTTGGCCACTGGAGGGGTTATCCTGGGAGATTTCTGAACCATTGAGGGTACTGGACTTGGGCTGCTTTGAGCTGATCGCCCTGCTGGTAGAAGTCAGTTACACCAAACAGGATTTATTCCCATCATTTCATCACAAACTCCCTTCCCAAACCTAAGAACGTAGGTGATATACACTTCCCATTCTCCATGACAGCCTTTATTGAAGAGTGACAATTAGGTGTAGTGCTGCATGCCTTTAATCAGACAGAGCACTGAAGAAGAAAAAGAAGAACTGAGAATTTTAGGCCAGTCAGGCTACACGGTTTGAGTTCTAGGCCAGACTGGGATATATAGCAAGACTTTCCCTCAAAATCCACAACACATCTATAATCTTAGCTACTCAGGAGGCTCAGATCTGAGGACTGTGGTTTGAAGTCAGCCTGGGCAGGAAAATCCATGAGACTCTCATCTCCTAATAAACTACTCAGAAAAGTCCTGAAGTGGTGCTGTGGCTCAAGTGGTAGAACATTAACCTTGAGCAGGAGAAGCTGAGGGACAATGCTTAGGCCCTGAGTTCAAGCTCCAGGACTGAGAACTAAAGCCTATGGCTTCAAGTCATACCTGATGGTGAGGGAGAGACTGAGGACTTCAAAGGCAAGGAGCTGGATGATGCTGGGAGAGGTGTAGGGTGGCTGAGCAGACCGGAAGCGGCTGGCTTGGTGGCAGAAGAGAATGGCAGCACGGAGGGTGCACTAGAGGAGCTATGAACAGGAGCATTGGAGGTCACAGCGGTGAACCTGAAAACCAGTGCCAACTGTGTCACAATAGCCTATTGGAAAATTCTTCCACACTGGTCACGAACACAAACGTTTCAGTTGTTATTCACATATAGAAGCTTAGAGTTGCAAGGAAACATTTGTCATCTGCTCGCTTAGCAATGACCTTTCAACTAAAGCTCCAAGGAAGTACTTGATGTGCGAGCAAAACTAAGTTTACCATGCTATGAAGCAAGGACTTCCTAGCCCATAAAGCTAAGGGAGAAAGGGCGTGAGGGGGTCATTAGAACTAGTTTTGGGGTGATCACTTCCTCTAGGAGGTGAAAATGAAAGAGATCATCATGTTTAGGATGCTTCCAGTCTAAGGAGAATACAAAGTCAATTCTACCTACTGAGAACAAGCCTGAGTATGAGCCAGGAGCTAGGTTCATCACCCTTGTACTCCTGGCTCCTCAGGAACCTAAGACTTGGAGGATCATGGTTTAAGGCAACCCCAGGCAGAATAAGTTTGCTAGACTCCGCCTCCAAAAAAAAAAAAGCTAGCAGCATGACTCAAATGGTACAGTGCCAGCCTAGCAAGTGTGGGGCCCCAAGTTCAAACCTCAGTGTTGCAAAAACAAAGCAAGGCAACTCTCCAGCATTCACTGATTGGCCAAAGAAATTACAATGTAGCCCACAGAATGGAACGCTAGGTAGTAGCTGTGTACTGACTCAATATTAACAAGAAAGGCAAGGCCACACCCTGTAACAAGAGTGTAGTGCTGGGAGTGTGACTCCAGCACCAGAGCACCTGTCTAGCAAGTGTGAGGTCGAAATTCAAGCCACAGTGATGTCAAAAACAAACAAAGCATACAAACACAGTACAAAAGGCTGGTGCTATTGGGAAGGTCTGTAAGACATAAAAGACTTTCTCCCCCAAGAAGTTCAGGTAGTGAGAAGACTGGAGCAAACAGATAAAAAGGTAGCTAAATAAGATATGAGTGAGCTGTTCAGAACTAGATCCTGAGGAAATGAGACACCATGCTCAGAGTTTGCTTGAAAAGCAATGAGAAGCCACTAGGGACACATCACGAAAGCTGAGAGTAAAGGTAAACAGGAGGGGACAATGAGACCTACTTCCTTTCCAGGATGCACACAGCAGGCTGCTTACCACCTTAACAGTAACAATAAAATTATATTTAAGTTTAAAAAGGACCAGCTCCTACCTCTATACTTGAAAGGGCAAAACAAGTATTTAAATGTAAATCTCTAGTGGTCAAAAATACAAAATGCTGAGCCAGGCGCCCCATGGCTCACGCCTGTCATCCTAGCTACTCAGAAGGCTGAGATCTGAGGATCATGGTTCAATGCCAACCTGGACAGGAATGTCTGTGAGACTCTTATCTCCAATAAACCACTCAGAAAACCAGAAGAGGTGCTAAGGCTCAAGTGGTAGAGTGCTAGCCTTGAGCTGAAGAGCTGAGGGACAGCGCCCAGGCCCAGAGTTCAAGCCTCACAATCACAAAAAACACAAAACAAAACAAAAACTATCTAAGAGACCTTTCAGGACTCTATGTAGACAATACAAATCTTTTATACTGGTCAAGTGTTAACCACTTCTTCAGGGGGAAAAAAAAATCTATCCAGTCACCCCACTCATAGTGGGTGACATTTGCAGCAAGTACTCATCCTACAGAAAAATCAAAGCTTCGACATGACTTACTTTTCGCTCAGGTTGACCTTGACAGCAGAGGCTGAGGGTGAGAAGGAGGGCTTCATTCCAGAGTTGGGAGCAGGCGCAGTTGACACTGGTGTGCTTTCCAAAGTGGGCTTAAAACCCGATGATCCGAAGGAGAAGGAGGCAGCTGATGGGGCCAGGGGTGAGGCTGCAGGGGCTGGGGCGAGGGGGGCCTTAGAAGGAGGAGCAAAGGAGAAGGTGGGAGCACCAGGCCCTGGGGCCGCTTTGGGATTGTCAGAGCCGCTGAGATGTGGAGGGGGCTCCCCTGGGACAGAAGCAGATGACTTCAAGGATGAAGAGCCAAAGGAGAAGATGGCTGGGGGTCCCCCAACAGAGGACAAAGGGAAAGTGGCAATGGGAGCAGCAGGGGCCACAGGTGCAAGGGAGGAGGGGGCCGCTGCTGCAGAGGCATCCAGTTTCTGTGGGGCCTGGCAGGAGGTTGGGGTGGTGGGAGTACTTCCTGCAACAAGAACCAAGGAGAAGAGGAAGGAAAAGGTTAATACTGAGCCCGGCAGTCCATGTGGCAGACAGCACTCAAGAAGGGGTTTGTGATAGAAGAAATGGTCCAAAAAAGAAGGAACAGAGTTGATGCTGGATTTCCCAGAGGGTAAGAGGTGGGAAACTCTGCAGGGTAAGGAAGCAGAGAACGCTATCTGACTAGTAGGATACATGAACGCCCAACCAAGTAATGCAGAAATACACTGCAGTTAGTGTGGCATTGCAAACTGGTGGAAAGGCAACACACACACTGCTGTGCTGGCAGTTAGGGCACTCCCCCCCCCCCAGCTCACTCAGCTCCCCACCTCCACACATTAGTTACAAGCAATGCCACCAGGGGGCCAATGGTTCAAGCCTATAATCCTAGCTACTCAGGAGGTTGAAATCAGAGGACTGCAGTTCGAAGCTAATTTGGGCAGACAAATCTACCTCCAGCTCATCAGCAAAATGCCAGAAGTGGAGGTGTGGCTCAAGTGGTAGAGTATCAGCTGTGGGCTTTCTCTAAAAGTAACAGTTGGAGAATGGCCCTGGAAGTGAAAGACGGCCAGGCTGTATATGCATGTGGGAGAAGGTGTCCTGGCTGGTGAGGGCGGCCTCACGTGCCCCTGGCACCTTACATGGTCATTACTGGAGACACACTTGGGCCACCTAGGGTGCCAGCCTGGGCAGGCAAAGGCACGTACCTGAGGACTTGGGCTGTCGCTCCCCTTCTAATGAGAGCCGCTCCGGGGTCCTGATTAGGGACCTAACCCCAGGATTTTGATTAATCATATAGAATGGACAGAGTACACCATCTGTTGAAAGTAACAGGAGAACTGGAGCAGGAGGAAGAGTCTTTTCATCATCTGTCAAAAAGGAAAACGAGGATGATTAGGGCAGCAAGTCGATTCAAGGGCTTGGAGTAACTACTTTCTCAATCTTGCTGTAACCAAGTACTGATGTGCAGTAGCAGCTTAGAGTAACACTCCCCGGGCAGCCACTGGGGAACTTGGGCAGAGAGACCAAGCTACAGTATCGAATGTATAGAATATGGCTCTTCGGCCATCTTCTAAAGTACACAGACATGTGCGTGTATACGTAAACAGCACAGTGTCTGGCCTTGGTTTCATCACAAGTGTCTGCTCAAAGCAGCTTACAGTACACACCGGACCTCGCTGCAGGTGAGGAGCTGCACACACACCAGGCTTTCATGGGCACTGACTGCTACCATGGGAAAGCCTTGCTGCCCAGGCGCCATGCCACTTACTGATGGCGATTTCCACCTGGTTGGTATAATCTATGGCCACCCCCATAGGCAAGGAGTCATCACTCTTGTCTGTCACAGGCAGTTCGGCTCGACTAGAATCCTCCAGTAGCCAAGATTCCCAATTAATCTGGAAAATAAACATACATGTTTGGTTAAGAGCCTTGCACCGAAGCCTTCCAGACCATTTAGATAGGAGAGAAGAAAAAACATCTCTCTTGGTTTTTATCATCACCATGGTGAGAAAGTGATAAGCAGTCAGTAAAAACCAGGCTCCAAATTACTTGGAGTGCATTAAGTGCATTTTCAATACCGAAGTTTATTGGGTAACAAATCATAAACTAAAAAGCATCTAATTTCTGACCAAATAAGATCTGACAGGATCTTCACAGGTTTGTCTTCCATAACTGAGGACCGTTTATTGTACACAGATGGTAAAACAGAACAAAGCAAAGCCTGAGCATCCAAGTGCACCGGGTTAGAGGTCGCCGATGGATCTGAAGAGAACCAAGGGCATTTGTTTTTGTGCAGGTCTTAGCCCTTAAACTCAGGGCCTGGATGCTCCCTATCGCTGATTTTTTTCCTCAAGGCTGGTTCTCTACCACTTGAGCCACAGTTCCATTTCCAGCTTTTTTGGTGGCTAATAGGAGACAAGTCTCATGGACTTTCCTGCTGGGTGGCTTCAAACCCTAATCCTCAGAACTCAGCCTCCTGAGTAGCTAGGATTATAGGTAAGCTACTACTGGTACCTGGCCAGAGGGCTTTTTTTTTTCTTTTGTCGGTCATGGGGTTTGAACTCTAGGCCTGAGCGCTGTGCCTCAGCTCTTCAGCTCAAGGCTAGTCCTCTACCACTTGAGCTACAGCGCCACTTCCAGTTTTCTGGTGGTTAATTGGAGATGAGTCTCACGGACTTTCCTGCCAGGGCTGGCTTTGAACTGCGATCCTCAGATCTCAGCCTCTTGAGTAGCTAGGATTACAGGTGTGAGCCACCAGCGCCCGGCACCAGAGGGCTTTTTTAAAGACGCAGAAGGACTCCACTGACACCCACGTCTCTCCATTGCAACAGCTGCACCGTCTGGTCTAAGGCATTGTGTTGTGGGGCTCTGCGCTCACCCAGAAGCCCATGAATAAGGATGAGGCCTTGTCTCACACTCGGCCACACAGTTAAACCCTGCAAATCATGGTCAGAAAAATGACAAAGGGGGGACTTACCTGATCGCTCTGGCGAGCGAGGATACTAACTTCTGTGGAAGCCGCAGACGCTGCCAGCACTAAGTCCCTTAGGAATACAACGAGAAGACAATTACAGTCAAGCCCATGTACAGCGCTGAGGCTCCCGGGTCCACAGTAATCCCCGAGAGAGCCAGGCTTCCTATCTGACTGAAGAAAGGAGAAGGTTCTACATGTACACCTGAGCTTTCTATTTCCTGAGGTAAAGGCCTGAGGAATCCACCCACTGCCCACCTGGGAGACGCATGACAAAATCAAGTCAGGTCCACAACAAACAGAACACCCAAAGCAGGGTAGCCTAGCCAGGGGAGTAAACTTAACCTGTTCTAGAAAGAAACCTCTAGAAGGTCCTTTAAATGTAAGTACTTTTCAGAGTCATCACTGAAGATACTGATAAAAGTGGATTTTTTGTGTGTCAGTACTGGAACTTGAAATCAGGGCCTAGGTACCGTCCCTTGGCTTTTTCGTTCAAGGCTAGCATTCTCTTCTATTTGAGCCACAGCTCCACGTCCAGCTTTAAGGTGGTTAAATGAAGATCAAAATCTCAGACTTTCCTACCTGAGCTGGCTTTGAACCAAGATCCTCAGATCTTAGCCTCCTGAGTAGTTAGGACTATAGGCGTGAGCCAGAAGTGCCTGGCAAAACACTTAAATTTTTCTTTTTTCTTTTTTTTAGGAAAGTACATATTCTACGTAAGTCAAGACTGAGGAAAGAGAAGCAGTCATCAGAAGATATGAGAAAGTGTCTGTTGAAAACACCAGGGCATCCCAGCCGTGCTCTCCTGGTGAGACCCAGCACGCGGGCGCAGGCCAAGGCCTCCAGCGAGCCTGCGCTCACCATTCTTCGATGTAGTGGAGGTAGTAATGGTGTTGTCGTTCCGTGCAGCTGCCGTAGCAGGGCTCCATGAAGTTGACAAATATCTCTGGGTGCTTCTCTTCCTTTTTCTATAAACAACACAGTGAGAAAAATAGCTCATGTGCAATTTTTCTTGAATCACAGATAGTTCACCTCAAAAGGTAAAATGGAGTTTTGTGAGAAAATCTAATTAAGAATTGAGAAAACCTGTTTACGTTGTATAGAAATCTATGTGCAAATAACAGACCAGGTTTAATGGCAGCTTTGAGTAGCACAGGGCGAAGAGGCGTTAGCCACTGAGCACACCACATTCACACTCTGTTCTGTCATTTTCCGGCTACAGGACCAGCAGGGCAGATCCTCTCTGCTATCAAGCCTACAGAGCAGGTGCTCAATGAGAATTGAGGGAAGTCTCATAGAAGGCTTATAGCACCATATACGAACATCCGTATTCAATAAGGACCCCCTAAGATTACAATGTTAAATTCGACCTTATCAGGAACTCAACAGTTACTACAAGACATTCTACCTAACTGATCAAGACCAAAGATGACACCGCTATGTACTAACATCATGTTGGCATAAACAGTTATAACTTGCCTAAAAGAGACCACTGCAATGTTGACAAAAGCTTACTAAAAATTCATAGCCAGGCGTTGGTGGCTCACGCATGTGATTCTAGCTACACAGAAGGCTGAAAGCAGAGGATCATTATTCAAAGCTAGCAAAAAAGTCCATGAGACTTTTGTCTCCAATTAACTATCAAAAAGCTAGAAGTGGAGCTATGGCTCAAGTAATACAGCAAAAAAGAAAAAAAGGTTCAGGAACAGTGCTCAAGCCTTGAGCTCAAACCCCATGCATGCATACACACACGTGTGCTTACTCTTACACACACACACACACACATAGCCAGAAGCAGAGCTGTAGCTCAAATGGTAGAGTGTCATCCTTGAGTGAAAAAGCTAAGGGGTCAGTGCCCAGACCTTGAGTTCAAGCCCTAGTACTGGCAAAATAAAAAAGAGAAAGATTCCAATTCACTAAGTATTTAAAAACAAGGTGGCAATGCATAGCAACCAGTATATTTATTGACAAATTCTGTTCTAAAATATCAAGTAATTTCTAAATGGAAGGAGCCAAAGAATTTTTTTTTTTTTTTTGGTCGGTCGTGGGGCTTGAACTCTGGGCCTGGGCGCTATTCCTCAGCTTTTCAGCTCAAGGTGAGCACTCTACCACTTGAGCCACAGTGCCACTTCTGGTTATTAATTAGAGATGAGAGTCATGGACTTTCCTGCTCCAGCTGGCTTTGAACCGCGACCCTCAGATTTCAGCCTCCTGAGTAGCTAGAATAGAGGGCGTGAACCATTGGTGCCTAGCTGGGATTTTTTTTTTTAAGATGGCTTTAGAGTCTTTTTCCTGTGTTTTCAAGTGTTTTACTGGACTTTGAAAGCCAATTGTGCATCAGTTGTTTTTCAGATGCCATTGTAATTTAGTAATGTTTTTTAGATCTTGTTGCTATATCCTCTATCTTCAAAATGACTCACTCCTTCACTCCATCTGGTTCTCTGCTCAAGTGACACCTCGGGAGTGGCCGCAGTGACCACATCCACAAGTCTAGTCCCTCTTGTCCCACACTCTGCTCCTCACGCCCCTGGACCAGCACCAAAGCCAACATTCATCAGCATGGGGCAGCCTCAAAAGCAAAGCCTTTTCCTCGGTCACCTCTGCGTGCTCAGTTTTAAAGCAATACCTAATATATTGTATACATTGGTTAGACATTTGGCAAATAAATGAAGTAAGTCTGTGGTGCTAGGGATTGGACACAGGGCGTTACACAAGACAAGCTCTCTACCACTTGAGAGCTATGCTTCCAGCCCAAATAAGTGTAAGGATTAAAAAAAAAAAAATAAAAAAATCAAGATACTCTCTTGCTTTTCTAAAATATTTTCATCATTTTAACTAATCCTCACAATTTAGGGGCTGGGGATGTAGCTCAGAGTAGAGCACCTGCTGAGCATGCACAAGGCCCTGGGTTTCATCTCTAGTACCACAAGACAAACAAACAAAAGAGGGGCTGGGAAGGTGGCTCAGAGGTAGAACGCTTGCCTTGCATGCATGAGGCCCTGGGTTCGATTCCTCAGCACCACATAAGCAAAAAGAAAAAAGACGGACGTGGCGCTGTGGCTCAAGTGGTAGAGCGCTAGCCTTGAGCTGAAGAGCTGAGGGACAGCGCCCAGGCCCAGAGCTCAGGCCCCATGACCAGACCCCCCCCCCAAAAAAAACAAACAAAAGAAATCTGTTTTACATATTTTTACATCTGAACTAGCTCTAAGTAGACACCATGATTTGGGTCCCCTGGCCCATGTGCAGCCCTTAGACCTTACATCTGAAGCTGCACCGTCACAGACATGAGAAAGGGCTCTGAAACTGAGGTCTAACTTTGTGAAGAGGTGATCTTGTCATCTGCTTACCGGAAGCAGAGCCATCACTACATCTGGACATGTTTCCAAGGTGCCATCCGCAGCAGCATATACAATTGTGAAGACATAGGTACCGATCCAGAGCACATCTAAAACTGAAAAGACCCCATCCCGTCTAATCAGTAATCAGTCACACACCTGACATCGGAATAGCTGCCCTTTGCTCTGAAAGTTAACATGCAATGGGTCAATACTGTAAGGGTCCAGATTTTATCAACCAAATATTAATGCAGATACAAACAATAAAGAGGCCCAGATTCATTTAAAGCTGCAGCTCGTTTCTGCTGGATTATAATCAGGGCAAGGAATAAAAGTCTCACAAAGTCAGGATCCATTTCAAGTCACTTACAGGGGACACTGACTTAACCAGCTGATGCGTAATAGAATCATGCAACAGCATCATGAGGTAGGTGGGCACCAGTACTCTCCACACATACGGGGTACATCTCATGATCTGACTGTTTTTTTTTTGTCGGTCGTGGGGCTTGAACTCTGGGCCTGGGCGCTGTCCCTCAGCTCTTCAGCTCAAGGCGAGCACTCTACCACTTGAGCTACAGCGCCACTTCCGGTTTTCTGGTGGTTTATTGGAGATAGGAGTCTCACGGTCTCTCCTGCCCGGGCTGGCTTTGAACCGCGATCCTCAGATCTCAGCCTCCTGAGTAGCTAGGATTACAGGCGTGAGCCACCAGCACCCGGCTGATCTGACTGTTTTTACCAGACACAGCATCACATGATAGGTCAGCCAATAAGGAAAACAGTGGTACATACCTCTGACAGGATGATCTGACTCATAAAATGGAGGACAAGGGATGACTTTTTTTTCTTGTAAAGTCTGAAAGAAATTTTAAAAAATAATAAATATAACAATCCCTAAACCAATGAAACTGTCAAATCTGAAACAGAGTATCCTAGGTGTAGTGGCACAGGCTTGTAATCCCTTCACTGAAGCTAAGGAAGGAGGATCACAAATTTGAGGGCAGCCTGGACTACATAGTAAGTTCAAGGCCAAACAGACCCTGTCTCAACAAAACCAAACAGGAATCTTGTCTACTCCTAGGGTCCTATCCTGGAGAAGACTTGCAGAAACATCTTCAGATGCAGATAATGGAGGCGTTCAATGCAGCAAAGTTAATGGTGCTGCAGAAGACCATCAATAATGAGATGGACTGTGGAGCCATCTATGCTATGAACTACTGCATAGCCAGCGAAGAGAATAAAGTGGCTCTAGATACAGTAAACTGAAAAAAGGCCTCAATAGAAAAAAAGTAAAAAGGGAAATAGCAAAACTAGAATGAAAACCAAAGCACTGTGTCTTTGTACTTGTATTCCATTACTCCAGAAGAGCTAAGTTTGAGGCCAGCCTAGGCAAAAAGTTAGCTAGACTCCCTCTCATCTCAATCAATAAACTACATGCCTGATCCCAGCTACATGAGAAGCATATATAGCAGGGTAAAGTCCAGGAATGTTCAGACGAAAAAACAGAAGACTCTCTTGGGAAGTTAACTCCACCAAAAGGGTTGGAGGTATGCTCAAATGGCAGACACTCCCCCTAACAAGGGCAAGATCTTGAGTTCAAAACATAGTACTGCCAAAAAACAAAGTAAAACCTTTTTAGATGTTAATGTCTCCTTTTTTTTTTTTTTTGCTCGTCTTAGGGCTTGAACTCTGGGCCTGGGTACTGTCACTCAAGTGGTAAAGAGTATGTATAGTTCTGAGTTCAAACCACAGTACTGGCGGAGGGGAGAGGAAAATAACAGCAAAGACGCTCTGAAACCAGAAAAGAAGTTCTGAAGTCTCAGGAGCGGACTTACAGGAAGGTACTGCACCACAGTTCCGTTCTGCTTTCCCACTGCCAGCTGCTTTCCCTTGGGGCTCCAGCACACTGGAGAAGAGGAGAAGGCCGTTGTTGAGACAGAAGAAAATAAAACGGAGCAAGGCAGTGAACCCAAGCGCTTTACAGCCTCCCAGTCATCATTTCCCATTCCTCTGTCAGGACACAGGACTGACGATCAGCTCATCAGCAAAGGGAGCAGAGAAAAAACATTTTAATGACCAATTTACTATGCCTTGTCACTGGATCACTGAATGGAAGCTACAAAGGCTTTTTCAGCAGAGTGCGGAGCATAAACTCGTCATCTTTAGATGACATGAGGAGAATGGAGAAGGTCTGGAAATGTCTAGAAATAACTGTTGGTGGTTCTATTTCTTTCTAATGCTTTTCCCATGAAGGTAAAAAAATGACTTTCACCTCAGATTCAGAAACAATTGCTCTCAGAAACACAACTCTAAATGAGGGTGTGGTAACAGCTTTTTCACTATAAAGTATTTTCTTCTCTAGATAACTCGAGCACATTCAAATTAGTTCACGTGTGGTATTTGGCTTCAAGAACATTAACTATGGAAATAAAGAATCCTCCCCCTTCTATGTCAAAAACTCCCCATCCAAAACCATTCCCTTTACTTCCAGAAGTTAATTTTCAGATGGATCACATAACCGCATGTTATGGTGTGGCTGTGTTATTACCTACCCGACGTAACTGCCACTGAGGGAGGGAGAGTGGCGCACACTTTCACCGCATCTGTGACTTGCAGGACGGCAATGCTGCCATCAGCCACACAAACGGCCACCATGGAGGGGACCGTAGGGTTCCATTTCATATCAATCACCATGCCGCCAGCATCTTTCTGGAGCTTATGGTAGGCAAATGGGCGTTTTTGCTGTTTTGCCTTTTAAAACAAATGCACAAAAGCAAAATACATTGACAAATTACTAGGCATACAGAGGCACTTAATATTCAAAGTGAACTAGTGAATCTACAAGTTTTCTTAAATCACAGCAATCTATTATAGATAATTTCAACAAAACTGGAAAATGGCAATCCATTGCTCAGAGGAACTTCTGGCTGCCAAATGCACCAAGGAGGACACTCGGCAACTAGTAGGTACAACACTAAAATCGTGGCTCTGCTTCTTGAACAGTAGCTTGCAAGGGAAAATAACTGTACCTACTAAGTGAGCCTACGGTAGGCATGGGAAAGGATAAGGCACACGAACACTTAGCCCAGAGCACAGTCAGTATTCACACCATTGGCGCCATTCTTAAACTCCATAAAATGGAAGCACAGCAGCAGCAAGCCAAAGACCAAAACATAGGGCCTCTTACCTTGTCCGTTAACTCTAGGGCCTTTGGCAGGTCACCTAAGCCTGTCTGTGTGGTTGTCGTCCATGAAAATGACTAATGACGCCACTTCAGGGAAGGCAGTAAATCACAGAGTTTACTGAAGTCCCTTCAATCTCAAAGACCTATGATTCTACAGGAAACCTTGGGTGGTGGTGGTTATAGGGCTTGAACTCAGGGCCTGGGCGTTGCTTCTGAGCCTCTTTGTACTCAAGGCTAGCATTCTACCACTTGACCCCAGCACCACTTCCAGGAAACCATTTTTCCACCCTTAGTTTTCAAGTCTACAGAATGACTCCGAGGGTAAACTTGAGAAACTTGCAAATTTAACTCACAGGAAGAAATCTCCTTGGGCTCTCATGCTGGTAATTCAGGCTGCCAGTTCTTACCTCATTTGAGAATGTGCGAACATCAAAAAAGGCGATAATGGAGCCATATTCACTGGACATCATGCACACAGACAGCGTAAGGTTATCACAGCTCAGGGCCAGGTGATGGATTGGGAATTTCATAGGAACCAGCAAGCTTTGGACTTTATCAACTTTTATGAAAGAATTAAAAAAAAAAAAAGACAAAGTGTAGAGTCTCAAGCCTTTTATTTAAATGAGAAATAACTTTTGCTTCTTGTAAAGATACCCGTAGATGCCCAGGCATCCAGATAAATCACATTTTTCACCCCTTTTTTTTGCTGGTCCTGCAGCTTGAACTCTTGACCTAGGTGCTGTCCCTGAGCTGCTATTTACTTGAGGCTAGTGCTCTACCACTTGAGCCATAGCTCCCTTTTTTTTCTGGTAGTTTACTGGAGATAATCTCACTGATTTTCCTGCCTGGGCTGATTTCAAACTGCAATCCTCAGATCTCAGTCTCCTGAGTAGCTAGGATTACAGGTATGAGCCATTGGCACCTGGTAAATATTATATATATTTGTCAGTCGTGGGGCTTGAACTCTGGGCCTGGGCACTGTCCCTGCACTCTTCAGCTCAAGGCAAGTGCTCTACCACTTGAGCCACAGTGCCACTTCTAGTTTTCTGGTGGTTAATTAGAGGTATGAGTCTCACAGTCTGTCCTTGCCTGGCTGGCTTTGAACCATGATCCTCAGATCTCAGCCTCTTGAGTAGCTAGGATTACAGGTGTGAGCCACCGATGCCTGGCTAAATCTTATTCTGACACTGAGTGTCTCAGGCACTCTTCCTCATACAAAAGGGGGGCAACTGTGACTGTTGACTTTTTTGAAAATGTTTTTGCAACAATGCTATGAATAGTACACATTCCCATTTGCTTGGAAGGTTCTGCTATGCCAACTAAAAAGATTAACAAAAGGTTTCTCCTACAGAGCCAGAGCTCAAGCTCCAATGAGCAAAATGGAAGTACCACATAGTAGTTAATTTTTTTCCTCTGAGCTCAGAAGAGCAAAGAAAAAACTAGGAAAGCTTCTGGTACCCTACCAGGCCCTTAGTCACCTTGGAGCTCAGCAGGCCTCAGGAAGAGCCATTTGATGCCACCATGTCCCTATTTCAGATATGTGACATAAATCGAGGAACTTACCTATTTTATTGGGATCATCTCCAGGTTTGTTTTGAATAAGAAGGTTTCTAGTAGGAAAAACTTGCAACCCACGGGCTCCTCCAGCAAAGAGCAGACCATACTTGTTAGACATGGCAAGCAGGTTTGAGCGCTCCTTGGGTAACTCTTCTGGGGTGTCGAAGATTCTCACCTTCCTCAATGCTCTAAACTGAAAATCCTGTTTTGGAGATCAAACCAAAATCAATTTGGGGACAGAGGAAACTAACTCATGTCTAATGTTGTATTCCATGGACTCAATTTCAGTGTAATAAAAATAAGCTTATTATCCCAGGCAACTGAGTATCTCCACTCTTTAGACTTCCTGTGCTCTGACAACACCTGGCATAATGTTTATTAGTATCTATTAAATGAAATAATGATGAAAAAACTCCAGGAAGCCTTCCTGGACTAATCCCGCTTCTTTTCCTTTCCGGAATTCCCAGTTGTATTTCTTTCTTTTTTTTTTTTGGTCGGTCGTGGGTCTTGGGGTTGGGCACTATCCCTCAGCTCTTCAGCTCAAGGCAAGCGCTCTACTGCTTGAGCTAGAGCACCACTTCCAGTCTTCTAGTGGTTTACTGGAGATAAGAGTCTCACGGACTTTCCTGCCCAGGCTGGCTTTGAACTGTGATCCTCAGATCTCAGCCTCCTGAATAGCTAGGATTACAGGCGTGACCCACCGGTGCCCGGCCCCAGTTGTATTTCTTATCTGAATCACCAAACTTACAATCATGTCCTTGTCCATGGTATTACACTGCCTCATGACCTGGTGCAGGTCTACACGAATTATTGTTATATTCTGAAGGCATCACTGGAATTTCCAGTGCAGTCCTCAGCAAACACAGAAATCCCAAGATCTGGATTCCTTGTATCAAACGTAACAAAATCATATCTTAGAAGAGGATATGGCCAATCTCTCAGTGTTGAAAACTCAAGTATAAAACCCTTACCACAGGTTACAGGGCCAGGTGCGGTTTGCCCCATGAATCTCTGTGCTCACAATGCTCCAGTTCGCACAAGCTGGCCACTGCCTCTGCCACCTTACATTACTGACTTTCAGTTTCCATTTCCTACATTTTCAAGTTCCTTAGCACCTTGGAGCTATCAAATCTAATTGAACTGAATATTCAATCTTCCTTGGCCTCCTACCAATGTCTACTCACACTGGCTTTTACAAATTTATCTACACGCTTTCAAGAACAATTCTGAGTGTGTACTGACCCTTCATTAAAAAAAAAAAAAACAACTTAAGTTTACCCATCACTTGACTGAGCCATACTATATAGCATTATTTTTCTTCAACTCTTACCTTCCCAGTCCCATCTTCAAATCTTTTTTTCTGGTTGTTGTTGCTTGTCATGGGGCTTGAACTCTGGGCCTGGGCACTGTCCCTCAGTTCTTCAGCTCAAGGCTAGTGTCCTACTGCTTGAGCCACAGTGCCACTTCTGGCTTTTTTCTGCTTATGTGGTGCTGAGGAATGGAACCCAGGGCCTCATGTATATGAGGCAAGCACTCTACCACTGAGCCAACTTCCAAGCCCAACTCTGTATTTGTTTTGTTTGGGTTTTTAGCAGTACCTGAATTTGAAGGGTTTTTTACTTACCTGGCAGGTGCTCTATCACTTGAGCCATGCCAGCCCTTTGTGCTTTCCTCACTTTTCAAGTAGGGTCTTACCTTCCATGTCCAGACCTCCTATGTGTGATCCTCCTATTCACACACACATCCCAAGAAGCTGGGATGACAGGTGCATGCCACCACTCCCAGCTTTTTCATTGGGGGTGAAGGGGATCAAGTCTTACTTTTTGCTCAGGCTGGCCACAAACCATAATCTTCTCAATCTCTGTCTCCCAAGTAGCTAGGATTACAAGCTTGAGCCACCTCTCCTAACGATCTGTTTACTCTACATCTGCTAAAGATCAAATGAAATATTCTTAATCCCAGCTGATTATGATAGGAACAACTCACTCAACTTTTCAGGTGAGACCATTACTATGGTTTCCTCAGAGACTCAAATTTTCGTCTTTTTGAGATTCTCTTTTGCCGGGCGCTGGTGGCTCACGCCTGTAATCCTAGCTACTCAGGAGGCTGAGATCTGAGGATCACAGTTCAAAGCCAGCCCGGGCAGGAGAGACCGTGAGACTCCTATCTCCAATAAACCACTAGAAAACTGGAAGTGGTGCTGTAGCTCAAGTGGTAGAGCGCTCGCCTTGAGCTGAAGAGCTGAGGGACAGCGCCCAGGCCCAGAGTTCAAGCCCCACGACCTACAAAAAAAAAAAAAGAGATTCTCTTTTATGTTGTTCCAAGACCAGGACTCAAACTCAGTACCTGATGTTTTGTTCATTGGCTGGCACTTTGCCAACTGAGCTATTCCTCCAACTCCCTTTTTGAAATTACCACCTTCAGTTTGTGGTTCCCTAGACTATCTGAGTAATATGAGACATCCCACCAACAGTATAGCCCAAAAGGAAGAGATAAACGCTGTTAAAAATGGTACCAATCACTATCCCCACGTGCATTTTACAATCTGTTGCTCCTATAAGTGCCTAAAGTATTGGTGAAACTTGCTTTTAACTGTTTTCTTAAAATAGCTCATTCTCTATTAATTAAACTGAGAGACTTATTAATAGATAGGAAGAGAAGGGGAAGGGGGGAAAAAAGAGATGAAAAAAAGGGTGAGCTAGGCACCAGTGGCTCATGCCTATAATTCTTTTTTTTTTTTTTGGGGGGGTCCATTCGTGGGGCCTGAACTCTGGGCCTGGGCGCTGTTCCTCAGCTCTTCAGCTCAAGGCTAGCGCTCTACCACTTGAGCCACAGTGCCACTTCCGGCTTTTTTCTCTTTGCTTATATGGTGCTGAAGAATGGAACCCAGGGCCTCAGGCATGCAAGGCAAGCGCTCTACCACTGAGCCACCTTCCCAGCCCTCATGCCTATAATTCTAGCTACTCAGGAGGCTAAGATCTGAGCATCCTGGTTTGACACCAGCCCTGGCAGACAAATCCATGAGACACTTATCTACAATCAACTGGCAAAAAATGGAGGTGTAGATCAAGCAGTAGAGTTCCAGCCTTGAGCAGGTAAAGCTAAACAAGCCCACAAGTGACTGAATTCAAGCCCCTAAATTGGCACAGAAAAAAAAAAAAAAACTTTTGTAATATATTGCAAGTATATATGAAAATAACATAAACTCAATTGTGTGTGGGTACTGGCTGGAGAGGGTGAGGCTAATAAGGATGGAGGTTGGATATGGGTTAAATAGATTATTTGCAACCATGAAAACGTAACAATGAAACCTACTAAATTATGTGAGAAAGTGGACAGAGTGTCAGAGGTGGTCAGACGGACTGGAGTATGTGGAAATCTAACAATGAAATTAAGGTTATATATGTTATAACAAGGTTACAAGTGAACATACATAACGATCACAGGAACATCCTTGGGAACACTTGATCCTCCTGTTAGTCCCCTGAACTTCAGGCTGACTTCTGGTGGCCAAATCCTCCAAATAACGGATTTTGCAGGGTACTTTAGGCAAGTCTTGGGCTGGGAAGGTGGCTCAGTGGTAGAGCGCTTGCCTAGCATGCATGAAGCCCTGAGTTCGATTCCTCAGCACCACATACCCAGAAAAGGCCAGAAGTGGTGCTGTGACTCAAGTGGTAGAGTGCTAGCCTTGAGCACAGAGAGGCTGAGGGACAGTGTCCAGGCCCCAGGATCGGCGAAGGAGGAGGAGGAGTCTTACATGAACCTGGCTGTCAACCCCTTGTCAACTGTAACTTTGGATCAAGCAGTTTGCTGGCGATGACTCCCAAAGCGCCTGGCTGTAATAAACGCTCCATAAGGATCAGCTAACATCTCTAGGCCGACCGCCACCCCAGAGGGGCCAGGATAACTCCGGGGCGTGTCCAAGGCCCCTGGGGCAGGTGGGCGGCACTTGCCCGCGGCGGGACCCGCTCGAGGCTCGCGGCGCGCTCCGCGCTCCGGGGAAACCGTCCAAGTGGGAGGCGGGGCCTCAACCCAGGACCAAGGAAGGGAGGGAGGCCCCGGTCAATCGCTAACCTTCATCTCCCGCTCAGGGATCATGGCGTCCATTTCGTCTCCCATCGCGCCGTCCTCAGCTTGTCCAAGCGGCCGCCGCGACCACCTGCGGCCTTCTTCACCCAGCCTGGGCCGCTCGGAAGCCAACCTCCTTTTTCCAGCGCCCGCGGCGCGCGACGTACGCGCACTTCCGGCACCGGTTGATGACGTCAAGCGGCCCCGTCAGTAGTGAGGCCCGGGAAAGCTTCGGGGGTCCTCCGCAGTCGCGGGCGCGCCAGGCCGCCGGCCCCCGTGAGCGGGTCGCAGGGTTGTGGGCGTGGCCACGGCAGCGCGCCTGCGCACTGGAGCCACGCGTAGTTTTTTCAAACAGTGCGCGGCTTAGCTTAGTTTCATTCATTGCGGGGCGCCGCCCTGGGCGCTCTGGGCTGGTTTTCCCTTCTGGCTTTTTTGAGTTGTTTATTGGAGATAAGACTCTTGGAGTTTCCTACCCCGGCTGGCTTCGAACCATGATCCTCAGGTCTCAGCCTCCTGAGGAGCTAGGATGACAGGCGTGAGCCACCGGCGCCGGTGCTGCTTTCAGCTTTTGGCTGGTTAATGGGATGTAAGAATCTCACCGACTAAGGCCTAGCTACTCAAGGGGTTGAGATCTGAGGATCACGGTTCAAAGCCAGCCCAGACAGGAAGTCTGTGAGACTCATCTCCAAGTAACTACCAGAAAATAGGAAGTGGCGCTGTAGTTCAAGTGGTAGTGTGCTCGCCTTGAGCAAAAGAGCTCAGGGACAGCGCCCAGGCCCTGAGTTCAAGTACCACCACTGGCCCCCTTGCCCCCTCCCCCCCCAAAAAGTTTCAGACTTTACTGCTTGGGTTGGTTTTGAATGTAGGTCGTCAATTCTCAGCCTCCTGAGCAGCTAGGATTACAGATGTGAACCACCAGTGCCTGGTTCATAGCCTTTTTGACTCAGTATTATTGCTAACTTCCAACTATTTAAAAACCCATCCAAGGGACTTCTTTCAAGAGGGATTCAAGTTTTTTTTTTTGGGGGGGGGGGGGTATTGGGGAAGTAAAGGAAGTAGAGAACCATCTGAGGACAAAAGCCAAGGCCAGCTTTCCCTCCCTTAAAGGTTGCCATTTCCAAAAAAAAAAAAAAAAGGTTGCCATTTCGAGGGCAAGATCCATGTCTATGTCTCACCAGTGGATTTGTGCTGAATGCTGTGCAAAAACATTTTAGACATGTTAGCTCATTTAACCTTCAAGACTGGTCACCTGGGGATTTATTAACACTTAATTGATGGTATAAAGGAAACCTCAGAGAAGTTTTCAGCCAAAAAGTGGAGGCAGGATCAGAAATCAGACCAAGCACCAATGCTTCACGCCTGTAAATCCTAGCTACTCAGGAAGCTGAGATTTGAGGATCCTGGTCGAAAGTCAGCAGGAGCAGACAAATCCCAGAGGCTTTTATTTGCAATTAATCACAAAAAGTTGGACGTAGAGGTGTGGCTCAAGTGGTTGAGTGTCACCCTTGGGTACAAAAGCTAAGCAAGTGTGCAAGGCCCCAAGTTCAACTCCTCATTTAAAAAAATGAGATCATGTAGGTATACTAAGAATTTTACAGTCTCACGCAGCAGAAACTCATGTAGTAGATGATAAATGCTCTAGGTTCCTGCCTTGGAACTCATGGGCCTACTCAAGGGAAACACATTTCTGCTATTTACTGTTTGGTTTTCTGCTGGCTACTTATCTACTCCAGCCTGCCCGGGTGCAATACAGAATAAGAACAGCACTGAACCAGCCTCTGGGACGGCTGTAATGTGAGGCTGTATTTGACCTGCACACACAGGACTCCTGCATTCAATCTGCTACTGTGGTAGCCAGCTCTTCTGAATTTGCTAAGGCCATAATAATCCCCAAGACATATCAAGGAAGACACTGATTGATTGGTAAGCTTCATCTGGTTTATTTCAATCTGTATCCATGACATCCTACCCCACACACATGCACACACATACACACACAACTTCATTCAACTGAATTACTCTTTCCTTTTGTGTCTTAGGGACAAAGCCATACCTGGCAGTCCCTGTGTTGCAAGTTACGACAGTTAGATTTGGTCTTTTTCAGAAACAATACATGTCCCTAACACTGAACCCTTGGCCAAAGAAGAGTCCCAGAGCCAAAAGCCGCAGCTAGAAATAACATGCAGACCCACTTCCAGGGGGTCTAGACTCTCTCCCCCTTTCCCCCAAAACTGTTAAGTTCTACATTTCAGTGATGGGGCTTGTGCCCCCATCCCCTGCAACAGGCCTTTCCCAGAGGCTGGAGAAACCCATCTCCTTCCTATGGAGCACACTGAAATAAGCCCGGCTGGTGCGGTCTCCTTAGTGAAGCAGACACAGCTCATATCATCCTCAGAAGTCCCAGCCCATCCAGAGAGGGGAGGCGGGGCTGGAACAGGCAATGGCTAATCTGGTATCCGAGGAAAAGACAGACAAGCTAGTGGGAAGCAGGGAGGTTTTGATGTTTACAGGAAGGAATGATTTTCCTGGGTTTAAATTGCAACTAGATCTGTACATTTGAAGCAGCTCCTAAGGCTGAAGGTCAGCCAGTCACAGCCAATCTCACTCCCAAACTGGTTGAGACCAGAGGATTAACTTGAGCCAGCCATGTCCTCACACCCTGCCCACTTCATCCCCCCAAGCAGCTGTGGGACAGCACACTGTGCCTTTGATGACTGAGACTCTCAGGAGCTTCCAGTCCCCAGTCCTCTCCAACTTAAGGTTCTGAAAAGACAGCCTGAAGATTCCTGCCCAGTGTGGGGCCAAGCCAGACCTCCCAGTACTGTAGAGCCATCACCCCTACTTCCCAACAATTCATTTGTCTGGGGAATCTGACTTGTGCCACTAGACTTGAATCCCATGAATCTGTCTGGCTTATGGCAGGCACTTAATACATTTCAATGAGTGAGCACCTCTGAGTCCTGAGTCCACATCAGGGTAAAGGACTCTTGAGGTTCCTGCTCAGCCCAGATGTGGGCAAGTTGGACACCTTCCCGTATGAGCTCTGAGAAGCTGGTCTCCATCAAGGCTTTCGCTTCAGAAGCTACAGAGAAGGCACATTACAGAGGCACGGACCTAACGTTGTCTCGGGAGCACTGGGAAAGTGAGTCCATGCCCAGGACCTTCAGAGTACAGGATCCCTTCCCGGGAGACTGCCCCTCCGGTTCTCACCACTGATTTAATTAAGGCAGGGGAGAGATGAGGTGCAGGTGGGGTATCTGACCACGTGGCTCCAGTCCTGGGTCTTCCATCTCCACATTAACCACCTGACCCTGGAAGGCCCTGCCTGGATCCCTCCAGACCAACACAGCGGAAACAGAAAGCCTGGCCTAGCCAACTTCCAGCGCAGAGCTCCTAAATCCTGTGAGGCTGGAAGAAAGGACACAGATGACCTCCATCCAACCTCTAAGTCAAGCTTTTGAGCAACAGGGGAAAGGAGAGATGAGAAAACACCGTGGACACATCACAGTCAGGACAAAGTGGGAGGACTTAAAGCTTGTAAGAGGTTCTCAATAAATATCTGTGGACTGTGAGGATGAATGAGTAAATGCATGGAAGGTAGGAGTAGGGTAGGAAGGCAAATAGAAGCAGCAGACTGCGATCGGAAAGGCAGCCTACTGCTCAGGGCCCAGCTGCCCCAGGGAGCTCATCGTGCCAAGAACGTCGGATTCATTCTCTCATCCTAGTCCCGCCTCTGCCTCAGAGGTCCTTCAGGGTCCTGGCAAGTGACAGCAGCTACACGGTTCCCCTGAGCTGCCTTTAAAGGTGTGACCACAAGGCCACAGAGTGCCTTGTGAAAGGGCTCCAGTGTTCAACCACCTTTCCTCCCCCTCCTTCTGTCATGTCCCTGAGCCTGAGCAGAGGCGAAGCACAACGGGGCATCTGTTGGGACGGTAGGGCACTGAGTGCCCGCATCCTGGGTAGAGAGAAATGCCGAAAGCCTGGAACTGTCCAAGGACACCCTGCAACCTTCCTACTCCAGTCTTCTGAGTGGGAGCCGGGGTCCTTGCCAAGGCCAAGCTGCAGCCTGAACTTGGCTTCAGAGGCCTTCTAGAAAGATGGACAGGACAGTCTCATAGCATGGGAATATACTTCCAACCCCGCTACCCTGGTTGATTTTTGGTTTGCTGTCAGTCCTTCTGCATAGGGAAAGGCGAGAGAAGAGGCAGGGAGAAATGAGGAAGGGGTCCCAAGGCTGTGTCCCAGCCCAGACCCTTCCCCCCCTTTAAGGCAGATAAGTTGTGCTTTACAAAGAGTTGAATCAAACAAACACACAACAACCAAACAAGACCAATCAAGAAGGGCAGTGAGGAGCGAGGGCAGGAATGAGAGGCGGAGCGGTGCCCACAGGTCCTCACGGCAGGCTGGCAATGTCTCTCTCTGGCGGTGGCCCTACTGGCTTAGGGCTGTTCTCGTTGGCTTTTCCTTCGAACATCATGACTCTAGTGTGGAGATGGAGGAAAGAAAACAAATCGGGATTAAGACTCTTGCCCTCATTCAGAGAGATTGTCCCAGCCTTCTTGTTGACTTTGTCCTTGAGCGTATGGCCCGAGCCTGTTCGCACTGCTCCTCATTAAAGCCCAAGGGAGTGGTATGGGGAAGGAGCTGTGATTCCCATTTTATAGAAGAGAAAATGGAGGCACAGAGTGGCAAAGGGGTTCCAAGAAATACACACACAGTCCCGGGCAGAGACAGGGACGATGCTCCAGGCATTGACTTCCAGCCCTTGTGTCTTCTAGACACGCTGCCTGGAAAAGACTAAACAAGGCTGGGCCAGGGCTCTGCTCAAGACCCCTACAAGCCTTTAAAAACCTCCCCACAACACGGCAAGCCCAGTCTAAGGAGAAGGAAATAAAGGTTCAAAAAGGAGCCTGGAGTCGGGGGAGGATGACCCAAATTCAAATGCCAGCCCTGCTGCTTCCCAGTTCCCAGTTGGGTAACTCAAGCCAAACATAGCCTCTCTGATCCTCAGCATTTCTCTGTGTTCATGGGGATGCTACCAGCTCTTCCCAGGCCGAAATGTGTGCTCCTTGTGTGTCAATGAACCCCTTTGTAAAATGAGATAGACATTGTCCACTTTTGTACCGAAAAACAAGTGAGGTTTTTTTTTCCATAAAAGCCAGACGTGTCCTTTTCAGCTGTGACAAATGACAAGTTTCACCAGGGCCTCTCTAAGGAGGAGTACCTAGGATGTGAGGCTCATCTATAAATGTTGCTCATCAGCCGGGCACTAGGCTGAAATAATCACAAGTTGTTGCATCTGGATAGTGCTTTGTGGAGAATATGTATGATCAACCTCATTTTACAGTGGAAGAAACAAGCTCAGTCAGGGGTGTGCACGCCTTGTAATCCTAACACCTGGGAAGCTGAGGCAGGAGGATATCAGCTTGAAGCCAGCCTGGGTTACAAAGTGAGACTGAAGGGAAGGGAGGAAGGGAGGAAGAAAGGAAGGAAAGAAGGAAGGAAGAAGGAAGGAGAAAGGGAAGGAGGGAAGGGAGGGAGGAAGGAAGGAAGGAAGGAGGGAAGAAGGAAGGAGGAAGGGAGGGAGGGAAGGGAGGGAGGGAGGAAGGAAGGGAAGGGAAGGGAAGGGAAGGGAAGGGAAGGGAAGGGAAGGGAAGGGAAGGGAAGGGAAGGGAAGGGAAGGGAAGGGAGGGAAGGAGGGAGAAAACTGGGATTTGGGGCTTGTAGAATTGAGCTAATTTGCCCAGGATCATTTAGGTAGTAATAGTTTCAAGATTCAAACTCCTTAAGAGTTGATTTTGTGTGTGTGTGTGTGAGAGAGAGAGAGAGAAAGACAGAGAGAGAGAGGGAGAGAGAGACAGAGAGAGAGAGAGAGAGGGAGGGAGAGAGAGAGAGAGAGAGTCAGTACTCGAGCTGAAACTCAAGGACTCATGCTTGTTTGGCTCAAGGCTGGCACTCTACTACTTGAGCCAAACCTCCACGTCCTCCAGCTTTTTTGTTTTAATGGTTAATTGGAGATAAGAGTCTCTTGGACTTTTTTCTGCTCGGTCTGGCTTTGAACCTCGACCCTCAGCCTCCTGATAAGATTGCAGGTGTGAGCCACCAGTGCCTGGCTCCTAGAGCTGATTTTCAACTCTATCTTCATGCTCACAAAACAACCCGATGGAGATAGCAGAGTTGCCTTGACAAACAAGGAAACAGGCCTAGAAGATGTGGACAGTGGATCTGTCACCATGCACCTCCGCCACACTGCTGCCACTTCCTGGCCACTGCTCTGCTAATTTCCTCGGCAAGGCTCCCGCCAGCACGATCCTTTGACAATTAAGGAGAGAGTTCAGAGAAATCAAACCTCACACAGCTAGTTCCAGGCAAAGAGCTGCCTGCAGGCCAGGGAATGCAGCAGGGGAATGCATGGGGCCTCTTTCCCCATAGAATGACAGCGGCCCTCCCACTGGGCTCCCAGAAGTGAGGTACTCACAGTTTCAGGACAGCTGACCTTTTGCCCAGCATCATATTCACAAAGTCTCTGTAGGAGATGGTGTCGCTGACCCCACCTGTCACTTCTGAAATCATCTTCTTCATCTCCAGGTGAGTCTTCGGGACCCCCAGCTTCTCCATCATCCTCTTTAAAGACATCAGGTCTGCGGGAGGAGAAGCGCATCTGCTTAGTGGACACAGGCTGCTAAGGTGGAGCTCAGAAGTCAAGGATGCGCCATTCCCATTGGGTCTGTGGGATGTCATTTGCCAGCAGTCTGCAGCCAATTGTGTGTCTTCTCCAGGGAGGAAGAGTCCCCCTCCCCCCGCCCCCATCTTAAAGGCTGGTCGGTAGGGCCCTGGATGTCTGAATCTGTTCAGAGTTGGGTTGGAACGAAGCCTGCTACTCCTAGCCCTACCCCAAGTCCTCAGTGTTCTCTGCACCTAGGGGAGCTGAGTCCCTACTCTCCTGATCCCCAGGAGGTTATTTCCCTGCAGGGAAGAGGGAAGGGGCAGTAAATGGCTCCAACCCTTCCAAATATGAAAGTCAATCTCTTGGCATCAAGGACTGCCACCTGTCCTTTGGCATCCTGCCGCTCTAGAACTCCACCCAGGCTAGAACAGAAAAGGGCACCCAAAATATCCCTTAGAGCAGGAAAAACGAAACAAAGAACAAAAGTCAAGAAAAATGAGAGGAACACGAACACACACACACACACACACACACACACACACACACACACACACACACACACACACACACACACACACACACACACACACACACAATCATTACTCCCCAGGAGTCTGCCTGTACCCTCTCAGCTCCAGCCAAGATCTGAGCAATTTCCTGGGCCTTTGTTTCCCCGAAAGAATGGGGTAGTAAAGGAGGTGGGAGGCTGGCTGGACAGGGGTTGATTTTAGAGCAGGGTGATGCCAGTACTTGCTGCAGAGGCAGACAGGACTGGAGCCAGGCCCAAAGGTGGCAGGCTTGCCAGGTCCTCTTCTGAGAGGACCTCCTGTGGCCAAGAGCCGCAGGACGGACACAAGTTGCCCACCAGACTGGCAACTAAGCAAGACTTTCCGGAGGGCATTTGGCAAGACGCTTCAGAGTCTTCTAACCCACAATGTCTGTCTGCTTGGTGAGATTTACTCTAAAGAAATAACCGGGGAGCCGACCAAGAACTGGGTACAAAGGAGCATTTCATGGGACTATCAATGACGGCTAAAACTGGAAGCCATCAGAACAGCGGCTGAATAGATCACAGAGCCCATTCCTACAATGGGAAGTGATGGGTGGTGAGAGGGAGGCGGGACGTTCTGTCTGGAAGCCAAAGGCCTGGCCCACCCCCCATCCACTGTCCCCCCTCAATCACTGCCCCCAGGCCCCTGCCAGTCCTTTTACCACTGGGTCTTGGTTTCCTCATCTGCCAACCAGATATGATTAAGCCACCCGACTGTCCTCGCTCTGCTGGTGAAGAGTGAGCTGTGGTGTGGTCTCCCCCAGCACCCTGGGACCAGGCACCTGTCACCTGGCCTGGGACAGCGGAAGTGCCATCCTCCTGGGCCAGGAAGTCACCACCCCTGGACAGGTCAGATGGCCCCCTCCGCCCGAGTCCCATGGCCCAGAGGTGGGAGGCTGTGTGAGGAGGGGAAGGATCAGGCAGTGGAGCCTGGATGGGAAGCAGAGGGCCCAAGGTGGGCTCTGCTGGCCTGGCTGTCAGCCCCACTGGAGTGTCCCAGGGGAACTCAGTGCCCCACCTCTCTACCCATCCTCCCCCCCCTCCCCCTGCCACCCCACTCACCAATCTCGCCTTCGTTGTTCAGATCAAACTCCATGTACTTCTCTGGAAAGCAAAAAGCTAGTATTAGCCTCTCCCTGAAGGCCCAGTGACCCCCTGAAGGGGCTGAGTGGGGGACCCTGAAGCCCTCAAGCCTCCCAGCTCACCACCCGTTTCAGTTCAAGTCCTGTCCTCTCTCAGCTGATGGCTCTGGAGAGAGTCCTTCCTGCCTACGACACTGGCCCTCAGAAGCCACAAAGGAAAGGTGGCCAGGTGCCACCAGGACCCTCTCGGGAGGACAGCTGCTGCCTCCCGGGTGCTTAGGGCATCCCTGAACATGCTATCAATTGACTGGACAGACAGTGGGCTCTGGTCCCAAGGCCAGTGCTATGTCAGCAAATCTTGTGGTGTGGGCGGTTCAAGCACAGGGGTGAACAGTTGTGGCCGGCCAGCGGCCAGCGGCTCTTCTGGGTCTACTCTGCACCATAGACTGGTGAGCCGTTTGGCAAGCACGCAAAGGCCACATCTTTCCAGTGGCCTGCGAGTGACCCATTCCCTCTCTCCCAGCCCGCTGGCCTCAAGGCTGCTACCCACCCACTCCCCACCTGGCCCACCTGGCTGCCCTCCTCCTGGAAGGCCCTTTAGTTGATCTAAGCTACCTCCTTACACCTTCAGCACACCTCACGGCTTCTGAATGGACACACACACACACACACACACACACACACACACACACACACACACACACACACACACACACAGGACTGCTACCTTCTCTCTAAAGCACCCACACCCCATTGACCTGGACCTCACCCCAACCTCTAAACACATAGTCCTGTGCTGGCATTGTGCCCCAAGGCCGCAGGGCGAGTGCACATTGGCAGACAGAAGAGAGATATTTATTTCAGTCTCTTCCTTTCCAACACAACTTCCTGTGGTTCTAGTCCTAGATCCCAAATGGATCTATCTTTCTCTCTCTTTCCTTTTTTTTTTTTAGTTGGTCTTGGGGCTTGAACTCAGGGTCTGGGCGCTGTCCCTGAACTCTTTTGCTCAAGTCGAGCGTTCTACCACTTTGAGACATAGCACCATTTCTGGTTTTCTGGTGGTTCATTGGAGATAAGTCTCAGACTTCCATGCCCAGGCTGGCTTTGAACCATGATCCTCAGATCTCAGCCTCCTCAGTAGCTAGGAGGACAGGCCTGGGCCACTTTTTTTTTTTTTCTAATGTGCTGGTACTGGGTACTCAGGGGCTTGTATTCTCACTTGACTTTTCTACTCAAGGCTAGTGCTCTACCCCACTTGAGCAACAGCTCCACTTCTGGATTCTTGTTAGTTAATTGGAGATGAGTTTCATGGGCTTTCTTGCCCAGGCTGGCTTTGAACTGTGATCCTTAGATCTCACCCTCCTGACTAGCCTGGATTATAGGTGTGAGCCACCTGCCAACAGCAGACCCTACATTCTGATGAAGACAAGCAGGGTGCACCAGACCAAGGCCCTGCCCCTCCTCTGCAGAGACCCCATAATGACTTCATGCGGTGTCCTGCACAGCTCTCTGTAGGCAGCTGGGCCACCTGAGGATAGGATGTCGTTTTTTCTAGTTCTCTTCCTCCTCCTCCTTTTCTTTGTACTGGTACTGGGGCTTCAACTCAGAGACTTGTGCTGTTGCTTGGCTTTTCTATCCAAGACTGGCACTCAATCACTTGAGCCACAATTCCACTTCTGGCTTTTTGGTAGTTAACTGGAGATAAAAGTCTCATGGACTTTTCCTGCCCAGGCTAGCTTTGAACTTCAATTCTCAGATATCAGCTTCCTGAGTAGCTGGGATTACACTCATGAACCACCAGTGCCAGGCTTTTAAAAAAAATAGTGTGGGCTGGGAAGGTGGCTCAGTGGTAGAGCTCTTGCCTTGCATGCCTGAGACCCTGGGTTCGATTCCTCAGCACCACATAAGCAGGAAAAAAAAAGCTGGAAGTGGCACTGTGGCTCAAGTGGTAGAGCGCTAGCCTTGAACTGAAGAGCTAGCCCATGACCGGACTCCCCCTCCAAAAAAAAAAAAAAAAAAGTGTGTGTGTGTGTGTGCTGGACCTGGGACTTGAACTCAGAGCCTGCACACTGTCTCTGAGCTTTTATGCTCAAGGCTAGTGCTCTACCACTTGAGCCACAGCGCCACTTCCAGTGTTTTGGTGGTTAATTAGAGATAAGTCTCACCACTTTCCTGCCCACGCAGGTTTCAAACCACTCCTCAGATCTCAGCCTCCTCAATAGCTAGGATTACAGGCATGAACCACCGGTGCCCGGCTTCTTTGGTGATCTTAGAAGCACCATAGCATCCTGATTGAAAGCAGGGGTTTTGCAGCCTGACAAGAGTTCAAGTCTCCACTCTGCCATAGGTGGGCTGCGACCTGCTGTCAATGATCTCTCCAGACCTGAGTTTATTCTTTGGTAAATTAACAACTGAGCCTTATGGAGGGGTGGTTTGGGGAACTGGCTATGATGGCCATCACTGGAGTAGGACTTCTGCCCAGCGGCCAGCCGTTCCTAACATTACTGCCAAGACTTCATATCCTGCCCAAGGCTGGTAGGCTGCAGGTGAGGGGAGGAACACTGACCAGGGAGTTTACCTTGGAGCCCAGAGGATGCCCACACTGCAAATGCTTGGAAAGGATATGCCGGAGGGGACCGTGGAGCGTTCCCGTGCCCAGCCCGCACCCCAAGTGCATCTGTAGGGCAGGAAAGGTGGGTGTGCCCCGCTCCTGTGTGCATGGCTCCTCTCGTTTCCAGCCACTGGCTGGAAACCAAGCGCCAGGCCCCAAACAGAAGGACCTTTCTTTTGCCCCTCTCCCTGCGCGGGCTCCTGGGCCCTGTTTTCTTTTCATCCGTGCTGCTGGGATTCAATAGGCAGAAACTCTGCCCCCCTGCCCCTCGGCGGGGACACAAGCGTCCATTCTCCACAGGGGCTCCTGGACGCTGTTCCATGGGGCTGGAGAGGCAGAGCCTCTCACAAAGGCCAGATTGTGTGCTGGGGCCCCAGGAACGATCAGGGTCCCCACGGGGGCGGACAGAAGCCAACCTGAGCCCCGCCGGGCAGCTGGGGGGAGAGAGGGGCAGCACAGGGCCAGGCCAGGGACCACAGGCGGGGGGGAAGGGGCAAAGATACCTCCTAGGGGACCCCTGTCTCACAGCCTGCCAGGAAGAGGAACATTCTGGATGAACTGTGGCCCCAGCCCAGCCCTGTGGAGTCCCATGTACCAGGCACTGAGCGGCTGGGCCTGGCTCTTCCAGGAATGGAGGCACAGCCAACTCTGGCTCACCTTTGAAGGCAGCGAGCTTTTCTGGTAGGTTCTCTTCATCGCTGTACTTCTGGTCACAGAGGAACTCCTACAAAGACGACAGACAGGGCACAGATGGAGTCAGGGACGCAGGTCCTTCACCCCACAGCCCAGGGGACCAGGCCCGAGCAGGGCAGGGCTTGTCCCGCACCGGTCCTGGCTGATATCCAGCCACCCTTCACAGGCACAGCTGCACGGTCCACCCAGGACTAAGAGAAGTATGCATGTGGCCCCCAGGGAACTCCACATCCAAGAGGGTGTTGGAGGATTGTAGTAGCTACTTCTTTTTCTCGTGTGTGTATGTGTGTGTGTGTGTGTATGTGTACTAGGGCTTACACTCAGGGCCCGGGCGCAGTTCCTGAGCTTTGTCACTCAAAGCTAGTGCTCTACTACTTGAGCCACAGCTCCACTTTGGCTTTTTGGTGGTTCATTGGAGATAAGTCTCATGGACTTTCCTGCCTGGGCTGGCTTTGAACCGCGATCCTCAGATCTCAGTCTTCTGAGTAGCAAGGATGACAGGCATTGAGCCATCAGCACACCCAGCTTGTAGCTACTTCTTGAATCTGAGGGTGAATGAGCCTGGCTGCGCGAATCTCAGAACACAGCTTAGGGATTAGAGACATTGCTGGGAGGCCACTTCCCTTCTCTCTGGCTTTTCCGCTGTGAAGCTGGGGTCTGACAGGGAATGTGGTCTGTGTCATTTGTCTGCATGTATGAAAACAGAGCAAGGAAACCCATTGAAATTGTTCGAAGAAGCTAAGGGCTGGAAGCTCACACCTGTCCTCTCAGTTGTTCAGGAGGCTGAGGTCTGTTTTGGGTCCAGTCATGGGCCTGAACTCTGGGCCTGGGCGCTGTCCCTCAGCTCTTCAGCTCAAGGCTAGCGCTCTACCACTTGAGCCACAGCGCCACTTCCGGCTTTTTTTTTTTTTTTTTTGCTTATGGGTGCTAAGGAATCGAACCCAGGGCCTCATGCATGCAAGGCAAGCGCTCTACCACTGAGCCACCTTCCCAGCCCGAGGCTGAGGTCTGAAAGTTGAAGTCAGAAGCCCTTTTCTGTACTGGTTGTTTTGTATACCTGGATTGCAGCTCATGTTTTTATGCTTTCTGCCATAGCAGGGATGAAGATGACAGGCTTGCGCACACTCGCACAAAGGATCAGGAGACACCAAGGTGAATCAGGTAAAGACCTTAGCTTAAAACGATAGCAAAAGCCAGGTGCCGGTGGCTCACACCTGTAATCCCTCAGGAGACTGAGATCCAGAATTACGGTTCAAAGCCAGTCCGGGCAGGAAAGTTTGTGAGATTCTTATCTCCAATTAACCACCAGAAAGCTGGAAGGAGGGCTGTGGCTCCATGTGCTAGAGCACTAACCTTGAGCAAGAGCTCAGGGACAGCGCCCAGGCCGAGTTCAAGCCCTGTGACTGACCAAAAACAAACAACAAATACGATAGCAAGTCTAGGCTTAAAAATTATATACTAGATGTTGTCCCTCCAATTACACCATGCTATTTCTGGGATGGGGAACTTGCTACCTCCCAGTCTATTGTAGACTGACAAGAACATTTCTTTTTTATTTTTGCCAGTCCTGGGGCTTGAACTCAGAGCCTGGGCACTCTCCCTGAACCTCTTTTGCTCAAGGCTAGCACTCTACCACTTGAGCCACAGCGCCACTTCCAGCTTTTTCTGTGTATGTGGTACAGAGGAATTGAACCCAGGGCTTCATGCATGCTAGAAAAACACTACCACTGAGCCACATTCCCAGCCTAACAAGAACATTTCTTTTTCTTTTGGTCGGTCATGGGGCCTGAACTCTGGGGCCTGGGCGCTGTCCCTTAGCTCTTCAGCTCAAGGTGAGCACTCTTCCACTTGAGCCACTTCGCCACTTCCGGTTTTCTGAGTGGTTTATTGGAGGTAAGAGTCTCACGGACTTTCCTGCCTGGGCTGGCTCTGAACTGCGATCCTCAGATCACAGCCTCCTGAGTAGTTAGGATGACTGGCCTGAGCCACCGACGCCCAGTTTGACAAGAACATTTCTAGATGAAGAGAAAGCAGTCTGTGACGACCTTGGGACCCTCCTGCCTGGTGCTGCAGTCCCTCCTCCACACATGGGGCCAAGGCAGGGAGGCAGAGTGCCTCCTCCCCTTGGGCTGCGTGGTAGTATTCAGTAACAAGAGGTTTGACTGTGAGCACAGCCCAGAATGTGAGCCCAGCTCCTGCAGTTCATGTTCCTGGGTGGTAACTCGGCACCTGCCCCATTTGTGCACCCAGCCATAACCCAGTGCCGCCGGGCTTGCTCCTAGATTTGCTCCTGGGGACACGAGTCTGCTGACCTCCACCCTCGCCCCGCCTCCTGCCCATGGTAAAGCTCTGCCCCAGCCACTCTTACTCCAATGCTACAGGTTAGAACATGAAGACGGGGGGGGGGGGGGGGTAAGAGGGTAAATAACACGTCTCAAGTCCACAGACCACTGATCTGGGTCTGGCCTGCTCGGCGCCTCATGGTCTTGCGGCAGCCCTGCCTCTGTGCAGCTGGAGCTGCCTGGGGGGGGAGGGGGGGCGGGGCGCTAGCTGTCTCCCCTCCAGGCCAGCTCCTTTGGGATCTTGCTCACAGTTCCTCTCCCCTGACACCCCCATCCTACTCCAGACTGGACAGTTCGCTGTCTATGGCCCTGAGCACCTCCTTGGATCCCTGGATCTCTTATCATTACAGCAAATGACACTTAGGTCAGGGGTTCCCAGACTTTGCAGACAAGAGCCACAAGGGGAGGGGGTGCTGGGTGCATTGGCTCAAGCCTGTTATCCTAGCTAGTTGGAAGGCAGAGATAGGGAATAAAAGCTGGCAACCAATGGCTAGACTCAGTCATACCTGCCCGTCCGCCCAGCTACGTGGGGAAGCACAAATAGGAGGACTATAGTCCCCAGGAGATCCAGGCATAAAGAGAGACCCTACCTCTAAATAACCAGTGCTGGCCATGCACTGGTGGCTCACACCTGTACACCTTGGGGAGTAAGAGGTGAAAAGCTCAGAGACAGAGACCCTCCTCCTCCACGCTCAGCACAAAAGGGAGATGACAGGACACCTCCTCCTCTCTGCCCACCAGGCTTTCGGCAGGCATAGGGGCTTGGAGGGCCACCTTGATGCTAAGGAAGCTCATACTTCCACAGATCACCTTCCCACAGGCGCTTTCCCTGATGCTCCCCCTCTCCCAACCCTCCACCACTGGCACAGGCATGTCCCTCACCCTGAGACTCTTTTCCCTGACTTCTATACACCAAGCCTCACCCAACCACAGGACCTTTGCTCCAGCTGTGCTCTCCTGCTTTCACACATTTACATGGTTCTCTCCCTCCTGTCCTTCAAGACTTGCATCAGAGACTCCCCCCACCCCCCACCCCCCCGACTGTCCACTGTCCACAATCCAATGTCTCCTCGGTTTTCCTGGCTGGGCTGGCTTTGAACCATGATCCTCAGAGCTCAGCCTCTGAGTAGCCAGGATTCTAGGTGTGGCCCTGCTGATTATGTTTTGTCTACTGTTCCCCACTGCTAGGAGACAGGATCCTCAGTGGGTGTTCCATACATCTAGCAACAGGGGGAATGAATGAAAGGGAGATTCGCGCATGGTTAGCACATGGTCGAACTGGAAATGAACTCCATCGTGATGTAGCTTGGGCTCCTGCCAGCACACAACGTTGGAGCAGAAGCCAGGCCAGAAGCTGGGCACCAGTAGCTCACGCCTGTAATCCTCACTACTCAGGAGGCTGAGATTTGAGGATTATAGCTCAAAGCCGACCCAGGCAGGAAAGTCCATGGGCCTCTTATCTCCAATTAACCACCAAAATGCTGGAAGTGGAGCTGAGGCCCAAGTGGTAGAGAGCCTTGAGCAAAAAAAGCTGAGGAGGAGGAGGAAGAGGAGGAGGAGGAGGAGGAGGAAAAGAGGCTGCGATTCCACTAAGAGGTCCTGGAGGACACATTTGTATGTGTGTCCCGGGACGCCTGGCCCTGAGCCATGTCCCCCGTGGAGCATTCGCCCAGAGGTGCGGGCGAGGGGCCGTGTTCTGCTCCACTCCCACGAATCGGTGGAGCAGCCTGGCCCAGCAGCCTGGGTGTGACCGAGGGGACATTCGGAACAGGCCCACCTCTTCCCTTCCGGCGGGAGCAGGGCAGACGTGGCTGGCCCCCTGGTGTGTGGGTGTCCAGTCCTTCGCAGGCCCAGGCCTCGGGACAGCTGTGCCCTTGGCAGGGAGGGGAGGCAGGTGGACAGGCGCGCCCGGGCAGGGCTGCCAGCTCCCACCCCGTCACCAAGCTCTGGATTCTTGGCTCTTACTCATGTGCACAGCAGCTGTCCCCTCCAGGTACCTGCCTCCGCATCCCTGCTCAGCCTGGGAGCATGGTTTTGTTTGGGGGCAGGTTCCCTGTTTAGCCAAGACCTGGGGCGGAGCTACCCCAGCAGCTACCCCAGAAGCCTGGGGGAAAAAGCGATGTAGTTAAAACAAGCAGCAGCAGCAAGGTGGAGCCAGAATGCCTAAGACTGAGTCCACTTAGCTGTGTGAAAATCACATCGTTTCGCCCATGCCTTGAGTTCCCCACGTAAGGGAGAATAAAATGGGTCTATTTTAGCTTGATGCTGGTGGCTCATACTTGTAAGCCTAGATACTCAGGAGGCTGAGATCTGAGGATCACAGTTGGAAGCCAATCTGAGCAAAAAAGTTCTTGAGTCTCTTATCTCCAATTAGCCAGCAAAGAAGCCAGAAGCAGCACTGTGGCTTCAGTGGTAGAGTGAAAACATCAAGAGAGAGCTTGAGGTCCTGAGTTCAAGCCCTAGTACCAACCAACCAACCAACCAACCAACCAACACACACAGAAAGAAAGAGAGGAAGGAAGGAAGGAAGGAAGGAAGGAAGGAAGAAGGGAAGGAAGACAAGAAAAAAAAGGTCTATTTTCTTCTCGGCAGGTCTTAGCATAACAGAATTTTAGTATATCTAGATAGATAGATAGAGATAGATAAGATAGCTAGATAAAGCACTAACTGCTGGGCCTGAGGCGCTAGT